CAATTTTTCTAAGTCCAACATTACGCCTTACCAATTTTACTAAGTTCAGCGTTACGCCTGGTTTTAAAAAGTTACGCCTGATACAAGAATTACGCCTGTCCCAAGAGGCGGAAAATGACACGTATTCCGTGTGAGCAAAGAGCAGGAATACGTGTCCTGCTCAAGTACGCCTGGTAAAGACACGTAATTCTGAATTCCGTCTAGAAACCAGCTGGTTTCCATGTCTCATCCAGCTGGTTTACGCCTCACTTGTTCGTACGGGTGTAAATAAGAGAATTATCACAGAAGAAAGTTAAAGTCAGTCCTCTAACAGTATAATGCTCGGATGACCAGTATTTAACTATAAAAACATTTAATTTTATCAAGGAAAAACAAATCTTAAAACATTCATAAGATGTAAGCACTCAAAACATTTACCATTGATATGATATGAATTACAGTATGCTTGATGTGTATAGAGTTAATTATCACAGGGACAATGCAAACTTACAGCAATTCTCTCTTTTTAATGCTATTCATTTTGTTTGATTTCAAGTAATCCTCACAATTTCTTATTAATACAGATCATTTGTACTTCATCTTAAAATTTACATAAAAATAGAGCACACTTGATATTTCATAGTTTATAAAATGGATGGCCTGTTGCTCTTTTTTTCAATCTTCCCTCGATCCCCCCTTTTCCTCTCCATCCCGCCCATTGTTACTGATTATAAATGTACCCCAGTACTATAAATTCTCATCACACTGCAAGTGGGTGTTCTTTTGTGATTATTCTTTGTGCCTGAACATCGTCCAACACACCACGGAATGACTCTACACTGACATGTCCCTTAGGGTGCTGGGCTGCAGCAGTTCTATACAGCTCCTCAAAGTTTTCCCCTGTCATCAGGACTCCCACATTTGCGAAAATGTCCCTAATCTGCAAGTTATTCCACAAGGTAAATTAAAATTTGCAAATTTAATTGATATTAACTAATATTAGAATGTTTTTTTACTTGATTATGATAATTAGTCAGAATTTGATATATTGTAATTCAGCTCACTTCGAATTGCAAAAATATGCAACTAACAAGTTCAGCATATTTTCAGGATGTCTTATTTTTCATGTGATTGTTATTTGGTACTTTTTAACAAGAAAAGATTTTCAGGAAATTTGGTTCTTGTACATAAACTTTCACAGTACAAATAATTTTTTTGTAAGCAGACAGTCTCACCTAATTATCTGAAAATAAAGTTCTCGTGAATAAAACATGATTAGCAGTATATGTATCAAACTAACCTCTTCTTTACTTCTAGGCAATAAGAAATCTTTTTCATGAACTCCTCTCCGACTGAAGATAGAGGGGTTAACTAGACCATAAGCATCTGACTCATCTCCATAATTTTTGGTGTCACACACTCGCTTGATTCTGGGAGCACGCAAATCTGTCCTGATTGTTGGGACACCATAGGTTCTATATCCTGATAAAAATTAACATTTCATTTGATTTTATACCAGAAAATTAAATCATTTTTATTTCTTTGAAAAGGGGGGGAGTCACTTTCATTACATATTCTTAGATACTTTGTTATATAGTGCTAACTTTAAATAAATACTAGTATTTTTAAAAACTTTTTTCCTGACATTTCTGGGTTATTTTAGATTTAAGATTCTGATAATCATCAGAGGAAGTTGCGTTTATATACCCTGTGTGGATACTCCACCAACCACAGCATTAATCATGCTGCTCTGAGTACGGTGATCCCCAATGGCCTTGTCAATTTGCTTCTGCAGAACTCTAGGGGTACTCTCTGCACTCTGAGGAGATTTGGGCTGTAGGTCTGAGGGTTCAGTCAGGTCAAGAGTAGTTTCTGCGCGTGATGAAGCTCTAGAACTAGATCGCCTTGTCTCTGCTTGTTTCTCCAGCTCTGTGAATTCATGAAAAGAAATTACTTAGTACTTGGTATTTACTGCTGCAAGATAAAAATATGTGTAATAAAATAAATAAAATTCTTTAAAAAAAAAAAAAAGGAAAGAAAAAAAAACCCAAACCTGTTTTTTCTGGGAAACCAGATTTCATTTTATCTTTCCAGTTAAGGAAGTTGGCAAATTCTAAATAGTTAATAAAGCCATCTCTGTTGGCATCACAGTAGTACAACAGTTGTTCCAAAAGTTCTGGCTCCACAGGCAGGTGATATTGTAAGCAAGCCTCTCTCAAATCATGGATATCTATTTTACCCTTATTGTCCTGTAAAAAAAACAATAGAATCACTACTGGTTATAGAATTCAACTGAGTTGAATGCATACAGTTGCATGAGAATGAGAAATTGATACATATATTGAAAAGAGTAAATATACCTTATCATAGAATTTGAATGCTTGGACTAAATCATCAAAATTGTGATAGTTGGCTTTCTTAAGGTGTTGTCTGATGGCAGCAAGGACTCCCCTTTGTCTGTCCTTGCCCCGGAGGTACTCTCCTGGTGCCCTCTGGTGCATCAAATCTCCTGCTCCATATTCATCAGGTTTGACCAAAATTCCAAATGTGTGATCAGAGGGAACAGTTAAGGTGTCCTTGATCCTGAACAGAAACATACAAGAAATAGTATCTAAATATTCTAAATCTACTGCATGATAGCTTATGTTTTGTTGTACTATTTGAATAAATTTTCACTGCACAAAACAAAATACAGTCACAGACATCTTTTACTGCTCGTCCCCCAAAGTACAACTCTTATACAGAACTATTCCTAAATACATGTACTAGTATTTCTTTAAGATGTTTTCAATTAGATAAAATTTACATGGGAAGATAATTTAGGTTCTCATAAATTGATTCCATGCAGTGCCATCATACAGACTGTGATAGTTTCTGTGAGCTACAGTTTTTATACTTACGGATCATGGACCTGTCCCAGCTGAGGTTGAGTTCTCTCCCTAAAGTCATCCACCCTCTTGGATACAATTTTACTGGCTTTTTCCTGTTGTGTTTCATGTTGCCATTTCATTGTAGTTTTCACCTGCAGGCCATCATTATGATGAGGAGTAGGAATACCGAACTTAGAGTTAGGGTCATAGGTTGCACTGTAATTACGGTTGTGCCTCTCTCCTACATCAAACTCAGTGTGTGACCTTCTATAGAGCTCATGACCCACAGCTGATTCTTGTTCAACCTCAGCATAAGTCTTGTTTGGATTAATCAAGCCACCAGCTCCAATATCTATAAATATCAAGTGTTGGGATAACTGATGCAAAAAAATTGTCAAACACATATCTAATGCTGGCCAAATTCTATATGCACAATTAATGTTTATCTGTTAAAAGTGTTAGATTTTGCACTATTTATTTACCAAGTTCTGTGGGAACACCAAAGGTGAAGGTGTCTCTGTTAAGGCCTTTGGGGAGACCAGTAGATTGATCATGTGACTTCCCAAGAGGAGCTCGCTGATGAGAGGAGTAAAGTCGCTCTTTTCTGTCCACTAATCTTTGTTGAAATAGGGTTTTGTAAGGGGGATTTACAATAGCCCCTGAGGAATCTGATGGCATTGTACTGATGCCATGAGTCATGTTTTCTGCCCACTGCTGGTGTGGATCTCCAGCTTTACCATAGAAAACTCTCATCTGTCCAGCATCAGGCCTGACTGTTGCTCGGAACTTTCTGATAACACTTGGAGATGGTGGCTAAAGATAGAATTTTTACAAATAAACAATATTCCTCATACTCTGAGACATACTGCATAAGTCACTAATTGAACTATATACGTGTAATATTCTTTGACATTTATTTTGTATCATTCTTCTACAGTATATTACTAACTCTGTCATCTTTTGGCTTCAAACATTGAAGAGCTGTGTCCCCACAAGATGTCAATTTACCAGCCTGTAAATAAAAATATGTTGAATAGAAGATACATATAGACAAATAAATATTATTTTTAAAAACATCTTTGATCTGGGTAGTGAAAATCAAAGAGTAATGTGATTCACTAGAGTGCTTTTTTGTTTAAGCTATGTATTTACAGTAGAATTGCATTACCATAATAACAATTTTATTCTGATATACGATATCATTAAAATACTTACGGGAGCTATAGATGGACTCCAGTCTTTAAATTTTCCAGAATAAATGCCTTGCATTTGTATATCGGGCAGCTTTACTTGTGATGCCATTTTTGTATTATCTAGAAAAACCAAATAAATGAGATTTTACAGCGCTTTAGCTGTCAAATCCTTCGCCAATATATGGCATAACCCCTACTACTTTCTGTTGTTGAGGCCTTAGCAACAAAGGTCAAAGTTTACTTCCTTTATTACTTTCGTAAATATCTTCCTCAAAATAAGAATAAGTTTATCCAAACAGAATTAATAATTTAAAATCATCATCAATTTGATAATTTCATAAAATCTACCAAATACAATAGAAATTTTGATCTGAGTCGAAAATGCGAAAATAAATAAAATTTGGTAAAACTAGTGACCCACAATGTTCATCATGCCAAAAAAATTTATTTCTGTGTCTACACTAAGCAAAAATCAGGTCATATCAACTTTTTTTTTTAAAGTGTAGTTGAATAAAAACAAGTCATAAATAATTTGCATGAAACAAATGAGGAATGCTTCATTGGTTAGTTTGTGTTTTCTTGGACAAAACCATTCAAAACTCGTTGAAACATTAAGTAATACATATTTTCTTTGAATATGATGGTAATAAAGAATATTGCATCAATCTCGTAGTTTCGCTTTCCCATAAATAAATTACCAAGAAATTTATTGCAGTAGCAGAAGTCTTTATTATTTCCGTTTTGACGTAATACACACTTGATTGACATTTTGATAGTGGTGTGCTAATTATTGATCGTATTAATGCGCAAAAATTAGTAGTAATTTTCCTTGTATTTTAAAAGTAATAAAACAAGAAAATTGTATATTTATTTTATTTAGGTTCTTACTATTTCGCTTAAATCTTTACTGTAGAGAATAATTTTCTATACCATATTGAACTATATTTTGGGCGCAATGTATTCCGGTCAAAACGTAGAGTGTTGTAGGTCGTAGAGGGTGTTTCTGCGTAATAATAAAGCATTTTACGTGTCTAAAATTAATATTTTAGGCAATATTTCGTTTCTAAAGAGAAGAATATTCATTTCAGAGGTAACATATACTCTTTTTATCCACGTCAATCTACTTTTTGATGCTCCATTACGACAGTATTTTCACGAACTCGTGATGTGGTGTTGCTAAATGGTTCGATTGTGTTTGGAATGGCTGTCAATATTTTATCTGCCTTCCGTGTTGTATCATTTACAGTTTTTTGAAGCGCTTTCTTTAATTGGAGAGTTATACATAACAATCTAGCAAATTTCACTTCTCTTTCATGGTTGATTCCGTCGATACCCTTTCACCATCGTATACATAGTTCTTCACTGTTCATGACTCAGCGTCACTGTCATGTGTTCTTATTTGTTTTTATCGACAATATTCAACTTACTAAGTCATTCATTTTATATTCACTTTAAAGAATACTAGTATTTGATTTGTCTGATTCATACACCTGAAGGTATCTGAGTTTATAGTTATGAATTGGAGTATTTCAAAATATTACCAAACCAAGCAATATGAAAGAGAGAAGGCATACATACTTGTTTTATATATATATATATATATATATATATATATATATATATATATATATATATATATATATATATATATATATATATTGAAATCTATGCTTCTTTTAATATATCACTTATTTTAATTTCTGTACACAGATTTATCAATCTCAGTGTTCTGTATTTGCAGGTATACCAAAGGATTAACAAAATAAAGATTATTCAGAAGGCCTAACTATGGCAGGCCGAAGTGGACCACAGAGGCCCAATGGAGCCACACAAGGCAAAATTTGTCAGTTTAAACTTGTTTTGTTGGGAGAATCAGCTGTTGGAAAGTCAAGTTTAGTTTTACGATTTGTTAAAGGACAGTTCCATGAATATCAGGAAAGCACAATAGGAGGTACACTTAATTTTTTTTTTTTTAATTTCCTGAGGGTCTCTACAGCCCAGTAGCTAAGTATGTCGGTACTAGCTTGAAAGTGCGTTGTTTGTTTGAAAATCTTCTTCTCTTCTCCTGGGTATTATTTAAACAAACTAAGTGCATGGATAGGTGATGTCTAAGACACAGGTTTTTTACATTCTTATTCCTTTTTTTTTCGTTACATGTTTTTCTTCCCTGTTTTACTCTAATAATAAAAAGACATCATGAAGATCTGTGGATATTTGCTTTATTGTAGTACTCTTTAACAAATATGACAAAAGATCTGCATAGTTATTTTTTGCAGATATATATGTTTTATGCAATGACTTTTGGTCTGGTGTTTTGTATACATAAGGGTAGGTGAAAAAAAAAAGATATTGTATTTGCATAATTGTCAAATATCTGTGTGTGCCACAAAATTTTCAATGCTAGTGCAGTACCAATTGTAGTGGGCTGAACTTCTTGCTGAAGTACAAATGCTGTCTCTAATCATATTTGACAACCCTGTACATGTATATTAATCAACAAATAAAAGTGACAACATTCAAGTAGGAAGAGAGATAGAAATCAGGAACAAAATTTATACCATGTAATCAAAAACAAAATCTGAATTAATTCTTTGTTTATATTGACAATTTCCTAGCAAAGAAATATAAACAATATCAAACCTTCATCAGACTATGACCTATGAGGCCATCTTTCTCCAGCTGGATTTTTTTTTTCGTGATTCATGTCTTGTTTTGTGGCACCAGGCTAATCATTTTGGCATACACTGGGATACATATATCCAGTGCAATTTTTTCAGTTGAAAATGAGAGAGAAAAATTCTATGAGATGACTAATCATAACAAATTAAATATTTTTCAGCTGCATTTTTAACACAGACAGTGTGTTTAGATGACACAACAGTGAAATTTGAGATCTGGGACACTGCAGGTCAGGAACGATACCACAGTTTAGCTCCCATGTACTACAGGGGGGCACAGGCTGCTATCGTCGTGTACGATATTACAAATCAGGTAAGTCATGTGACATAAGTTGACATATTTGTTGATATTCACATACATAATTAAATCAGTGTTTTATCTTCATTTTTGATGTGTTTTTCCCCTGTTTGTGTATATATATATATATATATATATATATATATATATATATATATATATATATATATATATATATATATATATATATATATATATATATATATATATACTGGTAAACTTCGGTATCTCGACATCGGATATGTCGACAACCTGGGATATGTCGACATCCTTCCGCGGTCCCGGCAGTATTTACTATATAAATGATTTGCAAAAACTCTGATATGTCCACCTCGGTAATGTCGACAACCCGGGTTATCTCGACATATATTTACAGTCCCAAGAGCAAAATTTACCTGGTATATGTCGACATCGGCAATTTTCTGCTCTACTGAACCTAACTGTTTGTCAGATAGGGTCGCTCGTCATGCACGGACGACTCCGGGTATCTCGACGTCGTCAAAGTTTCACACCTTTCACACCCATGTTTTGACTGCACGCTGCTTAATTAATTTTATAGACTGTGTTTGTAGGTGAATCCCAAGCCCCTTCGGCGTCTTTGAGAAGTTGATTGAGCTTGGGTAATATCATTACTAAATCTACACGATTCTGCGTAAATGTACAGAATGTTATTTATATCGAAACGTAACATAACTTTAAAATTTGAAAAAGATAACTAAATTACAATGAATAAAAAACACACTGAAAAATTCAAACTAAGGAATTAAAAAAATGTTTTAATGATATTTTGTAGTTAAAATGTATTCAACAGGAAACAATCCAATTAACGACACGATTGACCGAATCAGCCGTAATTCGTGCATCTGTAACATCACTACGTTAGTTTAGATACACAAATCTCTTTAAAAAAATTAATTTTAATGTATATTCTTCCAGAATAAAATAAGAAAAAAATAATTCGCATTTAATTTTTTTTACCGTTTATCGGATGTCGACTTTATACGGTTCGAAGTTTATAGAGCGCATTTCGTATCCTGTTCTGACGAAAAGGCAAGTTACACGCGAATGCAGCTCAATGCTGTAACTTTGTGCTGAAACTTTGTGAATTTGGAAATATTTCGATAAAGAACACATTTCATAAACAAGATTTTTAAAATAACTTCTTAGATTTTTAATAAAAATAGAGGGATTCTGAAATATGTTGAGCTACAGTCCATATCAAAATCATGTACATATAATAAGCTTGTCTGTTTTGCTATGCAGTGAAATCTTGGACGTCAAGTCTCAACTCTGATATCTCCACACCTCGGATATCTCGCGATTTTACGATGGTCCCGTCGATGTCGAGATAACGAAGTTTACCTGTACATATATATATATATATATATATATATATATATATATATATATATATATATATATATATATATATATATATATACATATATATATATATACATATATATATATATATATATATATATATATATATATATATATATATATATATATATATATATAAAATAAACTGTGATTTTGTTCTTAAAGGATACATTTGGTCGGGCTAAGAACTGGGTCAAAGAACTTCAGAGACAGGCTAGTCCTAATATTGTGATTGCTTTGGCAGGGAACAAATCAGACTTGGCACAAAAGAGAATGGTTGAATATGAGGTAATTAAAATGAAAGGCTCAGAGCATAAGTGGAATAGTAAAAATCTCCACTGTCTCATTTTCATTAAATTGATTGATTACAAGCAAATGTATCAATTGCAAATATAGATGTGTTATTTGATATAGAAAGATTATATCTAATTTAATTTGAAAAAGATAAGGTGTTTATGAGGAAAACATAAAATTACTGGTATTTTCAGTGGTTTTTATGGCATGAGAATTTTAGGAGTGTTTTGTTTAACATCTGGATAAAAGTTTTGGTACAACTTTCTGGTTCATTATTTGACCAACAAAATAACATTGCATATATCATAATTAAGGTCTTCCGTTCCAACGGAAGACCTTCTACTGATTCTGGTGGTTAAGATTATTATTCTTTTTTTTTTTCTTCTTTTTCCTAGACGCCAACTTTGAGACCTCATATCTCGCTCATTTCTCAACGGATTTTGCTCAAATTTGCAGAGTTTATAGACGTTACAAAACTCTATCAGAATGCTGTCAAACGGTTCAAAAAGTCACTTCCGCTTTTGAGTTATTGTCCTTTAAATGAAAATTTATTAGGCTTCATTTCCAGACAAAGGCTCCGAGACTACAAAAGCTGGAGCAGAAATTCTACCGAATTTAGATATTAGAAGGATTGAAGTTGTGCACATCGGTTTTTGTTTTTCGATTTCTGTATTCAAAATGGCGCTAATTAGGGGTCAAAATTTAGAACGCCTAAAAGAGCGAAAATTTAGACATATATTCCTTTGTATCTTTAAAACTAAAAATATTTTGATAAAACATGTAGAATAAAAGTTGTGCACAATTTCAAGGCCTTTCATTTGACACCACTAAAAAGGGGCTGGCCCCTCAAATTAGGGATCTGGAGCCCTTTAAAGTTTTTGCTTTATAACTCAAAAACGGTAAATATTTCGAAATGGCTGTCGTTAAAAAAGTTGTTCTTTAACATCTTATTGATTTCATGAAAATGTTATTTTGTTCGAGTCTTGTGTTTTAAATGCGCCAGAAGCTTGACCCATATACAGGTAACTGTTTTCATTCAGCAAGTAAATGAGAGCTCTTCATGCGTGTAACTAAAATAAACTTACTATAAATAATAAATCTGGCTACATTAGATGCTAATATTCTTTAGAATAAGGTTCTTGAAGTGTTTTGTGCTTTATTTCGAAGTTATTTTTTGACAACTTTTCGTTTTATTTCATTTTTTTCAAAGTCGAATAAACCAGTCTACTAAAAAAAAGGGGAAAAAAGATAACCTTTTCTTCTTATCATATAAAAACAAACAATATACTGAGAAAATAAAACATAACTTTGAAGCATAGACTATTTACAGCCATTAAGTGTGCGCCTTTTCCATTCACCTTGTGTGTTTACAATTATGTAACACCTCCCTCGATAGCGCGTGGCAAAGGAGGTCACCGGAGATCAATCGGCGTGTGATCCAGCGACCTAGTCATACACAAAACAAATCATAGAATGGCCATTCCAAATTCATTTTGTAAACTAAGTCATGAGTGGATATATATGTTGAATTTTTCAGATTATTTCATAATATCTTTGATTAAATCGCTAGTGTATTTTATTTAATATTTTATTCGCTGAATTACAGGAAAGTTGCATAGTTATTTTTATAAACAATTTATTTCTCGATATCGAGTTAATTGTCTGTTTTATTCATAATAAAATTCAAAATATGTAACCTTAATTAATTCCTACTAGTAATGGAACTTTTGAAACTTAAATGTACATGTATGTAATCTAATATACGTTCTTTTGTCGACGCCCTTAAAATGTACAACTGTATATATACAAAGCGCCCCAAATATATGCATATCGAGCGTATGGAAATACAAAATCCCACATTCACAAGCGCCTCCAAAATATGTAGAATGAGACAAACATGCGTAACTGTATTTGAATATTACAAATTTATTAGACACCTAACCTTGAACAAATTTTTTTTCTACTAAACTTGTTATTGTATGCAAACAAAATGATAAACATGTAATTATTTATAGGTTCCCATTATTTTTTCTGAAAATCAGAACACATTTATCAGCTCTCTTAAGGTTTTACGGATACATACAATGTACACGCATGCAAGTACAGAACATGCACGTTTTATAAGTGCATATGCAAGAGCGCCCCAAATATCTGCATATCGAGCGTTTGAAATTCAGAAAAATTCTAAATCCCAAGTCTTTTTTCCCATTATCTTTGCAATAAAATATCGGTTAAACCGAAATGATTTTATTGATTTACAGCATATATTAAAGTCAATTATAGGTCCGCTGAGTTGATCATGAGTTGTTTTCATAACGGGTAGTCCTCCTGGGCAGTCATCGTCACGGTTTGTAACATCGTAATTACACAGGTAAATACTAAGATGTCAATCCATATATTTTCCATAAGAAATGAATTACCGGGAGATGTCTCGTTTTCTCTGATCATATATTAATTGACAGCGTTTATGAACAGCTGTTAAAACACAGGCCTTTGTAAACCGGTAAATCACAAAAAAGAAAAATCCGAGACAAAAAACAGAAAATATAAATGTCTCTGGAAATAACATTGCCTTTAGATAACTAAAATAAATTAATGTCCGCCGATTTTTGAATTAATTTGAACATTCATTGATGTGTACCTGTACAAGCAGTGTGTATATTTTTATGAAGCCTTCGTCCAAAAGAACAATATAATAAATCTTGAATGAATTAACTAACCCCTCAGTACACACACATTCGCCTACACCTGAAATCTAATCAAAATCAGATCTTTTTTACGGCCCGAAATTCTGATAGTCGCTGTATTTCTAATATGATTGACTATACATGTACAGTACAGGCAACGCGGATCCCGTATTTCCCGCGCCCCGTCGCGGTATAAACACAACGCGGGATTTGGCCAGGTGAGACAGGTAAACCACGTTCCCTCCGCGGGAAATTCACCACCTACCTGTCCCCGCCGCGGTTAAATCATTGATCAACTAGTATCATAAACAAATGGGAGTTATCTCCCCGAACAGGAATTTTGCGAAATGCCCTCTTCAAAAAAAAACAAATTAAAATCCCGCAGTGTATGTATATTTATGAAAGTATTTTCTTTTATTTCGCAAAAGGTGAAAATAATGAATGAACAAAAAAAAAAAAAAAAAAAAAATGTAAAGCAGAATATATTTAATCGTTTTTTGTTTTTTGTTTTTTTTAATTTTATTTATTATTTACTTATTAATTTTGTTAAGTTATATATCAATACTAAAGCGACATCTATTTTTTTTAAATAGTATTAAGAAAACTATTTATAAGCTGAGTCATTTGAGAGTTTAACGTGACAAATTTTAATGTCGGAAATATAAGTTCTAATAACTTCTCTTTTCAAATTATATGCGAACTGCAATGTTACATACACGTGCTAAACAATAGTCTGTGCGAGTTCCGATTAACAGTTTTCAGCATTCCTATGAGGAAAAAATATATCTATATACTGTTCATGTTTTTTTTTAACCAAATTTAGAACAATATAATTCATTTAAATAATTTCACTTTTAATTACTGTATTAATGTGCAAGCATTTCCCTGAAATTGTCGAATGACCGGAAAGCTGTAATATTCGATGGTGAGCGTTTGCAGTGAGTGGGCGCGTGAACGTTATAAAAGATATCAATAAAATATAACAATTTTTTTCCCCTCGATATTTACTTCTTTTGTAAACAGTGGTTTGTTTTTAATTTAAACATTTCTCCAATTACAGAAGATGGAATGTGCATGGTGATGAACTTCACAAAACAATTAAAACGGGGGGGTGGGGGTGGGGGGGGGGGGGTTATCACTAAAACTTATTATTCTCAATAATACTCAAGAAAAAAATCAATGCCAAGTTTACTTGAATATATTCTGTTTCTTTGTGTATTAAGTATTAGTCGCGGTCATTTCCTGTGTATAGGGATTAGCAGAGCAAGAGCAGGAAACGGCATGCCCTAGGGGTTTCACACCTGTCCTAGAGTACCTGTGGTAAATTTCTCTGCATGTGCAAGGCGTTGTCTAGCCATACAACACACCAGTCCCTTCAACGTTTCATTATTTCATTATTTCTTCATTTTCAAATGTAACTACAACCATGAAAGTTACGCGAGTCAATATATACTTTTTTTTTTACCCTGAGTGTATATTAAAAGGAAAAAGATCAATCATACTTTTAAAACAAATTAATAGAGTTTAAATGAAATAAAATAGATCAAATCAAATTATGTTTTATTACTTTTTTTTTTAAATGCCGACGGGCTTGGTATTTATGTTTCTGTTTGATATATATGTACATGTACATGTGCATGTATTATGCAAGTAGAATGTAAAATAATAATAATAAAAAAACGTACAGAATGTTACGGCACGTGCAACGTTTTTCCTTTGGTCAGTTTATTGATTTATCGAGTCCATCGATTAAAACAAAATATTCATGATAGAATTTCAATGAAATGAATTGCTTCTGGATTATTTTTTTTCCAGTTTCAATATGTCGTTTCTGTGAACAGATAATATACTGTAGCCGATTTATCAGTTTATTGTCCAGTTTTGGACTTTGACTAATTCTACGATCAAGTTTCTGAAAAACACCGAAATAGTGACAGCCACAGACACTATTTAAGGTCTTTCGTTTAAGTAGCACGATTAAAGACAAAAATATCTACCGAAACAAGATCATCGTCGCAAGCCACGGGTTTTGTGTCAATTCTATTTCCACAAACTCGTGGCTGCCTCCTACCAAATTCTCTCGTTCTCGCGACTGAATCATTGAATATTTATTAAGTGACGCCAGGTTTACCCTGACCAATGAAATCACTCTGTAGCAATTTTTGGTACGCTTAAATGGCGACGCCCATAATGAAATCATGTTTGCTATGCGTGGCAGATTTATTGAAAAAAAATACGATAGATCCTGAAGAACAGATGTGAGTAACGTATATTCTAAAATACTTACAAGGTTTTACATTAAAATACAGGGTTTCGAACGTAGACGTTGTGTGAGAACGCTGAATACCGTTACTCGTTAAGAAAGGAAATTCGAACTGAAGTTGATGTACAGTTCGTGGTTATGGTTACATCCAAATACAAGATAGACTGATCATTTTCATTGGTTCTGACTTGAAGCGTCAGATGTTATTCCATTGGTTGAATGTATGTTATTAATATTCATGAGAACGAGAGAAATTTGAAGGAGGCAGCCACGGGTTTGTGGAAATAGAATGGACACAAAACTCGTGGCTTGCGACGATGAAACAAGATATAATAAGATATTTTGGTGACATGTGGTAGGTACATGTATATGATATTTTAGGCCCGATATCCAAGAGGGGTCCAGTGTTAACAAATGGAAGTGACTTACCTTCTCTATTTCATAATACCGCGGGTATGATTTTTTAATAAAACGTTAATTCTACATTATTTTTATGGATTTTTCATATGGAATATATTGTAAATGTGTACTAGAAGATTAATTTATGGAAAAAGACGAATAAAAATATTCTTGGACCCCGGGGTGTATATATTGGGGGGGGGGGGTCCTGTCCACAAGCACCTGTGCAGCATTCAAGCTTGAAAGACCATTCAAACAATACAAATCAGGAACAGTGCAAATCTTTTGAAATCAGAGGTAGAATCAAGTGCCATGGATCTGTCATGTTGTAAATTTTGAACTTACCGGTTGTCAGTATTTACTGCCACCCGGTAAATTCAAAATTTGTAGCATGAGAGATCTTTTTCATGCTAGCACTTACCCCGAAACGAGACCTTATACGGTCTCATTCAAAGGACCAATCTCCACGTTTTACTACTTATCCAAACTTGGCATAAAACATTCTCGATGATTTTTTTAATCATTATGTTGAACCTAACAAATTATTCCGACTCGCTGTATGATCTGAAAAAACATGGCTGAACTTATCCATTCAGAAACTCACAGACTGGGATTGCTTTTAACCATTGTGTGTTATGGCCTTGATGCAAGGTCATTTGGTCGAGTCAAGGTCACTGACAGAGAAACTGTAATTTCGCTACCGTATTTGTACTAGTGAAACATTGCTGGTATCATGCAGAGTGTGACATGGCCTTGACTCAAGTTCAAGGTCACTAAGGATAAGATGTTTTGACTGTATGTATGGACTAAAAGAACATGACGTGTCACTGTGAACTTTTCAAGTCGGTAACACACAGATTGGGTTTTATGATAAGAGTGTGTCATGGTTTGACGTAAGACATTTGGAATGTTCAAGGTCACGTACATTCCTTTACAGTTTTTCCTAGCGAAATATTGTAAGTTGCTTCCCCTTACAAGATTGCTTACATGTATAACTTTAGAATGTGGCATGACCTTGACTCAAGGTCACTTCTTCCTTCCGCAGCTCCAACGGAAGACCTATTCGTTGCTTTGCAACGAGCTCGCTCTAGTTGTCATTGGATGTTTTTCTTTATTCTTACAGGAAGCCCAGGCATATGCAGAGGAGAACAGTTTATTATTTATGGAAACATCAGCTAAAACAGCCATGAATGTCAACGATATATTTTTGGCAATAGGTAATGAATAAGTATAGAAGACACTTGTTACACTTCATTTTTGTATTTAAAGTCATATATGGCATATTTTTTTAAGTTCAGTTTAACTATGGAAACATGAGGTTATCCAAGTTCAAAATCAGTGAAAATTTTTATTTGAACGTAAATAACATATATCATGTTTATCTACACTCAATCTTGTATTTTTATTTTTTTTTTAGCTCAAATACGCTATATATAGCTTTAGCATGATCAAAACTGTTAAGTTTAATTGTACATATCTTAAAATTGGCTTGTTTTTGTGGTATTGGATGTAATATAGTTTGTGTTTTTCCAGCTAAGAAACTGCCCAAGAATGAAGGTGGAGGACCAACACCCTCACGACAAGGGGGCGTACATGTAAACAGCCAACAAACACAGCAATCAGAGGGAGGATGCTGCAAGTAGTAACAAGACAAATGATTGGTGAACAGGACTTATGTGATCAAGATTGATCCAATCACAAACTTTTTCTTATTGTGAGCAGTTTTAAAGGATAAAGATCAGACTCATGTTTTCCCTTTTAAAAAACCCTTGGGAAATCTTTGGAATTACAAAACAAAAACAAGGTGTGGTTCACAAACTGAATAATCTTTGAACTTTGTGTTGTTTCTAATGAAGAAAATGTAAACTTGACACATGAATTAGGATATACACAAAAACTAACTAGATAATTTCTTTTATCAGATTGCTTTGAACCATTTTTACATCTTTCCAATTACCTTGAATGTTAAAGTGGCGATAAACAGAAGCATAATTTTCTTTTGCATTAGGTTTGGATCCATATTTTTTTTTTTTATGAAATGTTTTTCTATCATTTATCAGCAAAATCATTGCAATTAATATAACCAACTATGTATATGATTTCTATACAACTGACTGTGTAAAAGAAATTTTGAAGATGAATTTGGTCTAAAAAAGAAAAAAAATGTTCCATTTTAATTTCCAATTTGTTTTACTCTCTACCAACAGAATGTAACACACTTTGTTTTAGAGATGCTGTTCTGTAGAAACCATGTGTATTTCTTTGCAAGTTTTAAGTATGTGAATCCAGTTGTTATAGTCTTTCATAGTTGTCATGTGTTGTAGTTATGCATGTTTGCTTTTTAGGTCTTACACCATGACTTCAGCCCTGTTTTTTTTTTTTCAGGAACTGTAATTCATCATAAAAAAGGATTATTTTTTTTTTAAGAACAAAACTTTGAAATTCCAGATTGCATTTTTATTGGTTTTACAAACTGTACAATGTATATTGGGTTGTGCAAATGCACTTGCATCGAATGTACTTGTCATAAAAAAAAACTGTGAATTACAGATTGCATTATAAATGTTTATATTCATTTTTGTGTAATTGTTGAACATGTTGAAGAGTGGTTGCTCCCTGTTGTTTTATCTCTTAAACTATATAGTTTTTCCTGAGAAAAATACTATACATATCCCCTGTAGGAATTCCATTTCCAGATTTCTTCATAATATTATTCCTTCTCTGTATGCTTAATGGAACCATTTATTCCTTTTATACTTACAGTGATATATGAATTTTTAGAAAAAAAAAATTGAACAATAAGAGTATTTTTGTGAATTAGAAGATCTTCTGTGAATAGGACACTTACTGGGGGTATGTATGGAGATTTCCTTAAGGTCAGATGACATGTTCTTCAAAAATATATAACTTTTCTCAATATTTTGTGATTGAAATATTGCTACTTTAAGAAGTTTCCTCATAAAAAATTGGGATACATTACCAGGCATTTGTGCAAGATTCCTATATAATCCTAAAGTAGAAATCACTTGAACTGCTGATATCACTTTTTTTTGGTCTGGATATTTTTCAGACATTTTGAAAATAGTTTAGAAATCAAAATATAATGATAATTATAAATATTTTTGGTATATTACAAAGGTATTTAAAACAGATATTCGAGGAATGTGTCGCCTGACCTTAAATACCAGAAATAGAATCTGTTGTTAAAGCAAAATTCAATGCTGCTGTTAGCATTCTCTGTGTCATTTTCACAAAGATTTTGATTGTAAATTGTGTGAAATAATTTGATGGTTTGTATATTTGATTTATGATAGATTTTTTTTCTTTGATATTTATTGACAAACTGCAGTAAAATTTCTTGAAATAGATAACAGAAAATGCAGTCTACAAAGATGTATACTGGTGTGAAAGTCAAAATAGCTAATGCTGCACATACAAAAGTATCTCTGTTTTTGGTCACATTTTAATAGCTTGCAGTTCATTGCCTTGCTATCATAAAACAAAGTAACCAACTTAACAGTCTATCAGTCATTGAGGTAAATAGCCTTGTTATTACAGTGGATCTGTCTAGGAATTCCCTTGTCACAAGGGAGCATACTGCGAGAAGTCTTTCCTGCTCGTGCAATGTGAATAGATGGAAAGAGAGAGTGAACAATTGTTGCCCTTCTGTGTATTTAATTTTGGTGTACAGATTTTACCTGTAAATCTTAAATATCATTCAGTTTGCTGACAAAATGCATGCATTTTCCAGCTTTCTTTCAAGCAGGAATGTGCTTTCATGCCTTCATTGTACCTATACACGTACCGATGTTCCAGATATTTTACAATTTTCTGATTGAGAGAAGTTTACTTGATAAAAATTTAAGTTGATAGTTTTGGAACATCCATTAGCTTCTACAAAATGTAGGCTATCTGTGTACACAGTAAATGGCAGGAGGTGTGTGGGTAGTTTCTCTGATTTGCAGTGTACTTTGTAGGTAAACTGAATGTGTCATCTGTGTATACTGTACAGCTCAGTACTAAGATTATTATTATACAGAATGTATAAATTATATTGTACATTTTACACGTAATGTGACAAATAAAGAGGCCTAGTGGCATCTTAATAACACAAAATTATTTTATTTACTTTTGATTAACTTTATGGATAGTATCTATGGTCCACCTTGGAAAAACTAAAAATTATGTCCTATCTCTGAAGTTGATGTCCATTTTACTATCAGTGTCCCATTGTCCTATTATTTCAAGGTAATATTTTCATAATTACAAAACAATTTTCTTGTATTAGTACAAGATCTAGTGGGGCATTATTTTTTTTTTAAACTTAGTATTGATAGGCTTTTGGTTTAATGAAATTTAAAGGCACTGAAAATAATTGTAGTGACTGTATATTTATGCCCCCTTCGAAGAAAGGAGGGCATATTGCTTTGCTGCTGTCGGTCGTTCGGTCTGTCTGTCGGTCCATGCACCAACAGTTTTCGTTTATTTTCTTTGCAGAGGTTGCACATACTAAATGAAATTTGGTATACAGATTTGTCATAAGAATATCTAGGTTAAGTTCTGTTTTGGGTACGATCGAGCAATTTTTGACAGAGATATGCCCCTTGGACTTAGAAAAATTCCTATTATTTGCAGTTTCCGTTCATTTTCTTCACTGTGGTTGCACATACTGAAATGAAATTTGGTGTGTAGATTTATCATAAGAATATCTAGGTAAAGTTCTGTTTTGGGTACAATCAAGCAATATGCCCCTTCGACTTAGGAAATTCCAATTATTTGCAGTTTCCATTCATTTTCTTTGCAGATGTTGCACATATTGAAATGAAATTTGGTATACAGATTTATCATAAATATATCTAGGTCTCAGGTTCTGTTTTGGGTACAATCGGGCAATTTTTGACAGAGTTATGCCCCTTGGACTTAGAAAAATTCCAATTATTTGGAGGGGTGTGGCATAAGTTTTTCACAAATATCTCTTGTTTTTGTCATTTGTACAGAAATCTTGAAGTTATTTGTAAATCTTTTGATTATCGCAAAAATGAGGAGACATGCATGGAGACAAGAGATGTCATCACACATGATGAAAGGGGGTGGGGAGGTGACTTAAATACATGAAATATCTCGGTTCAAATAACAGATCAATGACGAGCAAATTTTAATTAGAAAGAAATTTTTCTGGTGAGATATTTTGAATAATTTGATTATTTATACTAAAAGTGGGATGTGACTAACTGTACACATGTAAATTCTAATTACAAGGTTAAATTTTACTCTTAAATTCACTAACATTCAGGAGCTTCTGGGAGCATTGCCTCCTGAGTCCCCACCAGGTTTAACCCAGGACCTGCTGGGGGACTAAAGGTGGCCCCACACCCCCTACCTAATCATCAGATACCCACAGATGATCTCGTCTTTTACTCATCATGATGCCCCTACCTCTTAAAAAAATTTCACACCCTCCTAACCAAATTTCCTGGATCTGTCCCATGGGCTTTTCTGTCCACCTGTTCTCCAGTGTCTGTCTTCGTTAACTTTCAACTTCTTTAGAACTATGGGACTAATTTTACCAAAGCATAGAGCATTATTGGGTAAAGGGGATTCTCACTTGTACAAGTCTTCTTCCAAGGGGAATTAATCAAGAAAATGGAAAAATGGGTTGGGGAAATGGGAAGGAAAGATCATTAAAAAATCCCATTGCTCAAGAACAGCACAGCCATGATTAGTCATATCAATACATCAGGTAGTGTTGATTCAAGATTGTTCAAATTAATCAATGACCCCCAGGGGTAGGGCAGAGCCACAATAGGAGATAAAACTTATAGGAAAATAATCTTTAAAAATCTTCTAAAGCCATGATTAGTTTGTTTGTTTGTATGTTGTTTAACGTCCCTCTCGAGAATTTTTCTCTCATATGGAGACGCCACCACTTGCTGGTGGAGAGCTGCAAATTTTGTCCTATACTGGGCACTTACGGCCATTGAGCAGTGAAGGATCTTTTTCGTGCCAGCACCTACTGCGACATGGGACCTCGGTTTATACGGTCTCATCCGATGGACCAGTCTCCACGTCCCAAAGTGGGATTCGAACCCAACTCAACTCCTTACTCTGCGACTCTAGAGCAGACACTCAAACCACTGCGCCACGCTGGCGACAAAGCCATGATTAGTCAGAGAAATATGGAAGCATCCTCAGCATAGATTCCAGTTTGTTCAAGTTATGTCCCCTCCCCCCTTTTTATAGGTTTGGACCACTTATTATACTGTAATGATTTCTGCTTTTCCTAGCAAAAGTGTTCAGGTGAGTGATGTGGCCCATGAGCCTCATGATTAATGACCCACCCTTTTTTTTTGCCTTGATTATTTCCCCTTGTTAACAGGTTTGGCCCTTCATTTCCACATTTTAGAATCCCTTTACCTAAGTATTCTTTGTGTCAACAGGTTAAAGGTTAGCTAAAAATTAAATGTATGTGAATGTTTCTTTATATAATGTAAGATTCTAAATTGTACAAAGCATGGGCCCCGGGGGTAGGATGGGGCCACAATAGGAGATCAGATTTTTACATTTGGCTATATAAGAAAAAATTTCAAAAACCTTTTCCAAGAACCACATTAGAACCAATACTAGTAATTGGCAAACGTTTCCAAGTTGTGTGGATTTAATTTTTTTTTCCCTTCAAATTATAGACCCTGCATGGATTAGTGTTGGCTTAGATTTGGATCAAATTTTACACAATTCATGTATACAGGAAAAGAATTTTCTCCCTGATAACTGCAAGGCCATATTAGTCATCTTGATATTGAAATATCCTTATGTTAAAGTTAGGGTGTCCATAATATGGGGTGAGGTGAGTGTTGTGGCCCATTAGCCTCTTGTTTGGTTGAGTAAATTAAGTTGGGCATGACTTATGGAAGATTTATCCAAGAAGGAATTGTTTAGTTATGGATGTTGCAAATTACCCGGTATCTTATTCAGTGGAATGAGTGGCCATGTTTTCACAGTAGGCTTGTAAGAGATATTCAATCTTTAAATGGAGGCTGAGGATGAGGCACATTGTTTTGAGAAATGGAGAGGTACAAGGCCATTTTAGGATTGCACTATTACTTAAAGACCTAAATATGTGCTAAATTAGGAACACTCTAAAAAAAAAGTAATTACATACTCATATGTCTGCAGCAAGGTAGCTATCTAGCAATCACTCTAGCTGCAGATCTGTACCTTTCTGAGAAAATTCAGATAGACAAACCAGCGAGCTAAAGATCCATTGTAAGAAAAACTCTGTTTTACGATCCCCCTTTTTTGTTGCATGCTTCAGATATTATTTCTTAGGCCTGTTCAACAGAGCAAATGTTCACGAGTGCTCGCCAAAATTCCTTATACCTCCAACAGAAATGTTCGCGAGCACTGTTGAACAGGCCTCTTGTATTAATGCCTTTCCCTGCTCAAAGCATGGCATCCATTAATTAATCAACAATATATTTTTACTCCTAATCTAGTTATTTACCTTTAAATGGTTCCAAGAAGCCCTAAATGGCCATAGAATGTCAGCTTCAAAATAGTGAATGTGCAAAGTGAGTATGTATGCACTAAAACATTTTGGAAGGGAACCAATTAAGTTTGATCCATACAGTAACAGTTACCGATCTGTAACCTAATATAACATTAAAATCTCATTATGGACATAAAGGTTACTGCTGCTCAATGACCATGACTTACAAAGTTAGATCAGTAAGAAAAGTTAAAGCTGCATGGATATGGCATGATATCCTTCTTAACATCAACATCTGAACAGTGTATCATGATCTTGAATTCCTCACACAATCTGACTTGAATAAAGTAAAATGCAACTTAAAGACATTGGCAAGGTTCCTGGCTTTCGTATAGAACTTTTCAAGAACTCTTCCAGTAGGTGTAATGGTACAAAACATGTTTTATTCTGGAACATTTAACCCACCAAGCCACCCTTCCTTTTTAGATTTTGTCAAATCAATGTTTTTAGTGGAGATGATAGGTAAATTTTATTTTATTAAGGTAAAGTGTAAATGTGTAATGATGTGAAACAAAAGCACTAGAAATTTGAATCCCTAAAAATAATTCTAAGGATACACCAATGTTACAATTCTCAATGCATTCCCTATGTAAAATGTTATAAAAGGATTTGCATAATTTTTCACTATAAGATTTCTCCAAAATCCAAATATTTCATAAAATGAATGTAGTACATTATTGTATCCTCATTTCTATGAATTCTAGATATTTTGGCTGAAAATGCAAATAAGAAACAAGACTCAGATATACCAGTGCCATTCTCTATTTTTCAGTTACTTCCCTTAGAATCTATTATTATTCATAACGGTAAAGAAACTGATTCACTATTTCTATAATGTAATAAACTTTATTGGAAACACAGTTGTTATAAAAATCTTGACAGGGATTTGTTTTTAATTTTTTGTTTGTATTTACTAAATAGCGCCTCCTTCACAAGACCTAGAAACTGTTCTCAACATTTGTCACATCTCTGCCCTTCCCAGCATAGTTACGGTAAATAACGCTCTGTTGACTGTCTGTCCCTTGAGTAAAATGTCTAACAAAGCCACCATTTTTTCTTTCTTGCTGTAGAGATGATTCTACCAACTGAAGGAAGCACACATGCTTTTGTTCATCTCTGTAACATACGCTTTATTGGTTTTCACTGTGTAGAGAATTCTACACGGGAGATCACTCTCAATCACAGTTTTGTAAGTGAAAAACCCATGAATTAAACCTTTTTTCTTCGTATAACTGTGACTTGCCAATGTCCTTAAGAGGATGATAAAAATGTAAACCAATAAAGATGTCAAAGCATAACTTTAATTCAATAGTGCCATTTTGCAAACAAAAAAAGCATGCAATATTGAGGCAACATTTTACATTTGTGCAAACTCTCTCAAAACTTCAAATCACAGGAATTCAAACTGAATCACATCATTACTGCCTCTGAAATGACAAAGGTTCATAAACCAATTCTTTCTATCCTACAAAGTGGATTTTCAACCAAAATATAACATTTACATTTAAGTTATAAATACTATAATAATATTTTTTATTAAAATGGCTTTTCATTGTTTGTTCATGTACTTAGTGTGTCAAGAAACTTTATCATAAAACTACATATTTCATTATTTCTTAAAATACATATTAATAGGTTCAAAGTTTTACAAGCAAAGAAAAAAAATCTTTGGTTTACAAGCAAAATTATATCTAGGAAAAACTATTTCATTTTAATAACAATCAACAAAGTATGTATAAAATTATACACTTAATGCTAAAGGTACACTTATCTCAAGTTGAACAAATTGTGTTCACAGTTTTTTTTTCTGTGTTAATGATCATATTATTTGTGTGTTAAAGATTATTTTTCATGAACATCTCTGTGAAAGTTTGTGTTCAAAATTATTTCAGCAAAAGAACTTGGACATTTTGAAGGTTTTGGTACATAATGACTTAATTTCCATTTAAGAATAAAAGTTTACCTCATACAAACATTAATTGCTGAAATTTGACAGGTTTCAGAAAATGATAAATATTGCTCATACTACAGCTTACCTGAAGTCATAAAACATTATTATTTTTATTATTATTTTTAACAAATTAACAAATCAGGCACTAGTGAAAACTACTACTACATTTGCACACATAAGTATCACCCATTAAAGTATCCCTGCAGATTAAACACTGATTTACATTGACCCAGACATAAAAATGGTGTTTACAGGAAAAACTGTAATGAGAGATCTAGATAAACTGCCAAATATCATATTTGACTTAACACTTCCATGTTCATTGTAATTTTTTTCGTTACCAATCTATGTAAGCAAGCATTAACATTTAGTACATATAAATAGCATGTAGCAGGGTATCTTGATGTACATTTAAGAGTTTTTTTTGTCTTTACCATGCATTGTATTTTCAACTGATACCACATCATCAAATTAGCAAAACAAAGAACCATGTCATTTTGGAAATGAGATGGACAAAAAAGAATTTGGTGAATCAAAAGGATTACTTGGATAATTCAATTAATTTTTGGCAACATGTGTATATGTGTGTACCTATACATGTACCTTTGGCAAAGCTTGTACAAATACATGTATTATTTTCTGAAGCCATGTTGATTATGAAACAAATGTTAAAAATAAAAAAAAAAAACCAAAAAAATCAACCATTTAAATTGCTGTGGTGGTATATAATAAACATCTAAAGATTTGATGACTAATGGCCTAAAAATTAAATGTTTAGGAGTTAAAGAAAAAAAAATTATTTTTTTTTTTTATACATGTAGTATAGAATTTTAATCTCTTTAAATAATCAAGGTTGGTAGTATTTCATTGAAAATGAAAAGCATCCTTTACCTTAATACAAGTACTAGTGCTGTTAAGTATCCTTCATTTCAACAGGATTGCACAAATATCATTGCGATCTTTTATGCAACTCCATTACAGATATGACAAGTCGTCATGAATGTAGAAAAAGCCCACATTTCAGACATGTCTCTTACAGGAGTAGTTATATAAAAACGTATACACAGTTTGAGGTTATAATGGACTCAAAAACAATCAGGATTAAGTGAAGAATTTTTTTTGGAATGTTCTGCAAACAAGTGCAAATTACACTTTCAAGCTCTGCCCTCTTTTCTGACATGCTTAATATCACAGATGGTTTCAGTGTGCTAAAATAAAAAAAAAATACGAACACAAAAGTGCTAAAAATACCTCTGATGAAATAGACTTTGTATATTGCACAATCATAACTGATTTACAGCTCTATCTTATATATACAGGTATATGAGGATAACATAATAATTAGTTTTCAAAGAAGCATCAATTTTTAATCATTGCTTTCAGTGTATGTTCACCATTATGGTAAAATGCATAACACTGAAATAACATCATGTAAATAACACGAGAATAACACCAGTGTAAATAACTAACAATTCACAATTGTATTCTCCTCTTAAAGATAACAAAATACAAAATAACAATAAATTATATGTGTTTGTAAGAGTAACAAAGGAACTGATCCAGTCAAATGATATGTAACTTAAAATATTCTGAGTTACAGCATTAATCATTGAAAGATATTCTTCATTCAAATTAAAGTGACAATTCAAATTTGCACCCTTATATATTTTACTGATCCATACATTATATTCAATTTTAAATATGAAAGAAAAACAAAATAATGGACACTTGAGATCTTGAGATTCTGATTATTTGTAAAAAGATCTAAATTGATACATATTTGAAATGCCCATTAAAGTGTTCCTCACAAAAAAAGCTAATAAACAGAAATCCAAAGATGATCCTGTAGATTAAAACTCATCCAATGAATGACAAATTCCTTCATTAGTTAATTTTCAATCAGGAGTCATTTAATCACCAGAGCCTTGGTAATGAAAGTTTGTCAAATCCTGGGTCCCTTTTCATTTCCCAGTATTTACAATTGAATTCATAACAATCACTGTCTCTACTGTCATCAATTTTGCTGAAAAAGAAAAGCAAATCAAATGGAAATACTCAGTCTTCCATAAGAAATTATAAACAGTCACATACACTTTATTCTCAGTTATCACTGTAATTTGCAAAGGTACATGTGCATGGGTCAAGAGGGAAAATTTTATTTCCATTCTTTAAAATACCATACGTACATATGTATATCATTTTCTTTATCTACTGTTTGCTTGAATTTTTACATTGTTAATGCTAATACTTCTAGAATACAAAAATACTAATATGTTCTTATACTCTTTTGTATACTGACCCCAATGCTTCCTTTTTAGGTTATTTTTTTTTTCCATCCATTAAAAGAAGGCAAAAACAGACACACACACACATATAAATAAACAATAACAAACAAACAGACAATGGGGCTGAAAACTTTAGCGGGACAGGAGAGGATGAATTTTTATGTGGCCTTCGGTATCCATTTCTCCAATGACAGCAGTAAATAATTTTTTTTTTCTCTTTCAAAGAAGATTTTCAATGACAAAGAGCATATGCACATTTTACCTAAACCAGCGGGGGACATGGTTGATCTTTTGTTCCTCCCGAAGTTTTCGGTTATCCCTCTGCAGCTGCTCTACTCTCTTTTTCTCCTCTTCAGAACCTTTAATATCACCTTCCTCAAGTAATCTAAAAACGAATTACATTTTAAACTGTGGGGGCTGATAAACATTCTTTGCCTGATGCACATAGAAAATGTTTTTTTTCTAGTTGGGACCTAAATTTTGTAAAGACAATTGTCTATGGGCAACTGGATAATGTAACAATGAAAGAATTTTTTTTCTTTTCACCTTTATTCAACTTGCAAAAACCTACATCTCCTGAATCCTTTCATAAACAAGTATTTTTATAACAATCAAGAATACATAATTTTTTGTGCCTGTATTTATTTATATTTCTATCCTAAATACTTCAGCTGGTTTGACATTATCAACTGAGTGTGAAGTAAGAAATTCTAACTTCCTCTTTCTTTTCAGCAACTATTCTCCACTCCATAATTTTTAACTAAACAAATACACCTGCACATGGTTTAATAAATTTGATTTCAGAAAGTCTTTTCTTTTTTAAATTCAAGTTTTCATTTTCTTAATAAGTCTGGTAATTCTATGACACTTGAATGTAAAATTTTATTCACAAATTAACCATGTCAACAAACTGCTTAAATACCTTTGGTCAGGCCTGAATCTTGTGTCTGTAATTGGCAGGAATTTGGCTTCATCTTTATTCAGCTCATTAAGTTCTATTGCAAATCGTGTAAACCCATAGTACAACTCATAATCATCTGGCATGGCCCCTTGAAAACAAAATGTAAATGATGTTTAAATAAGATTTTCATCATAATCTAATGCAGTTCTAAGTTTTTACTGATTCTGTGTCTAAAGACTCATTCATTGTTTATACTTAAATACCTGAAAACTAATTTATGAAATTCTGCTTCAGATTCTTTTCAGAAGTTAATCATTTATTCCTTACCTGGCCTCCATACACAGCGTGAGGAGGGGGCGTGGCCATAATACAAAGCCTCATTCCACTTTCCAAATAAATTGTGAACAACCTTTCCTTCAGAATTCAATATCTGCCCATATACTTCATGTCTCCTTGAGGAAAACTGTGAAGCCTGTAAGATTTTCAATATATTTTCTATAGAAAAGTAATGAGTATCTTGTATTCATTTGTTTAAGACCTTTCCCCTTGCAACAACTACTGTAAGCACTACAATGTATTTGTAAGGGAACAAAATAAATCAAGATTATAAATAAAACAATACAGGTAAATAGTTTATTAATTGAAGTGATCTTTTTCATATTTATGAATCAAACTGAAAGTCCAGGAGACAAAAAAGATGCCATTATTGTGTAACATGACTGTATTATTAATGTTCACCATTGATGTAATCTAATATAACAATGAAATAATTGTATAAATGGACTGATTAGTATTACCTTTTTAAATGTGAGTTTACAAGTAATCCCTCCATTCGTGATCTGCATTTCCCCATACTGATCCACCCAGCGCTGACCCCCCAGGAGATTATGTACACATGTTGTCACTTTGTTCCACTGATAATGCTCCTTATATCTGTATCAAAATTTCATATAATGTTGAAAAAAAAGAAAAGAAAAAAAGAAAAAATTATTGAACTTCTCCTAGTGTATCTGTGTAAAAATATATTGTAATATATTGTAATATACCACTGTATTTTATACGTAATATTATGCGGTCGTCCAGTTCTCATACTTGTTAAATCTATATTCATCATGTGCCTGCCAGAAAAGTTGTTCGTTTACGATTTTATTGAAAATAATATGTCAGCCTATCTTGATACGATTGTAGTAATAGCTATTATCATCATATTTTACCTGTTGTTGCTTCATGTAAAGTCGTAGGATTTATAATATCAGGGATAAGAGGGTGGATTTTACATTTCATGTTTTGGTAGCCATCATACTTTACTCGGATCGGGAACATACTAAAGACCTGACCTACTAAAGACCTGACTGACCTGACCAACAAAAAATTCTCCAAATATCAATATTCTGAGTTTTTATATCAACTTTTCCATGATATTTTCTTAATCATAAGGTGTAATTCAATTGAATAAAGGTATATTCAATCATTTTTACCAAAGGATGACTGCACTTAAGGACATGCGAAATTTGCGACAAAATAAACTTTCAAAACAAGCATTTTCCTTTTCATTGCAAGAATGGTCAACATCCAATCTACAACTTTATGTAATTACGTTTAATAAAAGTGTGTATTTACGAAGTTTGAATCTGTTTTCAAAGGCAGGGGTGATCACAATTTCTTGAATCTCCGTACGATAATGAGGACGCCCACTTTTTTACTGACTTTATACATAGTCAGCGCATGTTTGTCTATTGTTCTCCGTTTCACAGTAGTTGTATATTTGCATAAATAATAAAGTGTCAAAAGGAGATTAATAGACAAACATGCGCTCATAGTTAAAAAGAGAAAAAACTGCCTCTTCTTACACTCGCTCTCTGTGTTGTAACCAAGGATTATAATTGTGACATGTTGAATATTATAATTCACCACGTGATGTCCTACCTCGGGTAACTTTGTGAATACCAAATTCCGTCACGTGACTTGTAAGGTAGCATGTTTTGTGCTAACTAGGACATAATGTGTTCGAACACGTTAAGTCATCTGGCATTGATATACAATCTGCTTAAATTACATTGACATGCTCATATCGTTAGTTTCATTTTGAAACCTTTGTCAGAAGTGTATTTGTGCCATTCAGAATGGAGAGGGAGATTGGAAAGAGTGATCATGTTCTTTTTTTCAAACATGTCATTGTTATTTATCAAGTCTAACTTAAGACTCATATTTACAATGTTAGCTCCACCTCTCATGCATATCTAATGTTCAATCAAGGGCAGTTAACTGTAAATTCACTATATTTGGAAAACACTAAGGACAAAAAACATTGAATCATTTTATTGTATCACAGTCTAAAATCATTTTAAGATTTAAATTTGGTTTCAAATTGACAGGATTCTGTCATAAACATACAAAAGTGAAATAAAGTTTAGATATAAAAGCAACAGAAGCAACCGAAAAAGACCCAAAAACAGGCGTTAAGTGCAGTCATCCTTTATTGTCATTAATCAATTCATTTCATGAAAATTTAATGACCTGACCAAATGATAATCATTCATAATTGTTATCTTTTTAAAAATATTTCATACATTTTTAACATATATTCTCTATTAAAATGATTGATAGTTTAGGCAAAATGTTTTTAGAAACATTTTTACCAAATATTTAGTCATTTATCCATTTATTTCATGAAAATTTAATGACCTGACCAAATTTGAAATGACCTGACCAAATGATAATCATTCATAATTGTTATCTTTTTGAAAATATTTCATACATTTTTAACATATATTCTCTATTATAGTGATTGATAGTTTAGATAAAATGTTTTTAGAAACATTTTTACCAAATATTTAGTCATTTATCCATTCATTTCATAAAAATTTAATGACCTGACCAAATTTGAAATGACCTGACCAAATGAAAATCATTTGTTATCGTTATCATTTTATAAAAATATTTAATACATATAATGTTAATTTATTAATATTCAGGTGTAATACTTTGTAATTAAACATTTCTGACAGATAAACACAAACTTACAAACCTATATATATATTAAATATGCATTGACCTGATGAAACTAAGCCGAATTTACATAAGCAACTTTTCACCAATTATAATTTAAAGTATTGTATGCACTTAAATTAAAAAATCTTATCTTATATTTTAGAAATATCAAAGTTTCACGTATCTTCTAAAATTATATATATCTACGGTACCAGTATTTATTTAACCTTTCCAATATATTTATTATCTTGTTTTTTGCATGTATAACATTATTTGTAAATTATCTCAATTTATTTGTTATGACAATCATGCATATATAGATCTAGTAATCCTAGTAGTATAACAAGGAGAGGATCTAATAAGTTGAAAAAAACTTGTATCCAATCCTTTTGTATGTAATATACAATAAAATATGTTCAAAATCAAATCATTTTAATAATTAAATATTTAATTTGTGCTTGTAATATCATCATTTCAACCTGTTTGGGTATTTTTTATTTATTTATTTATTTATTTTTTTTTTTATCAATTTTGGATACAGCAAAGTGTATACATATTTACAAAATTAGTTACTTTTAATGAAGGAGTGTGAAAAATTATCAAATGAATTAAAAGAATGCTTCTTTAGATCAAATCTATAAACTGTATATCAAATAGTGAAATGGATAATTGTTGATCCGCTTACTCTGCTAATTTATTGTGATAGAAGTGTCAAGAGGGCACTGGTCACCCATTGTTTGTTCAACAATTACCTACCTATATCCCTTCAAGGAAGCTTGTGTATAACTAGTGGACTATATCATCTATATACTCCACTACTGATTAAAATTCGAGTTAATCAAATTTAATAAACTTAATTGTTTAAGACCCTATAAGAAGAACAAGTCTTGTGAATAAAAAGACTGAGGATAATCATCACTTTTATCCTTGTATGCAGAAATTATTTTTGAAGATAGATGTTTTATGACGAATGCATGCACTGCTAATAATTAGTAATGTAAATTGGCATCAATAGTTATGCGGAGATGAATCCATAGTTTTCGTAGCGAAATAAATTTTAAGTGATAGAGAAATGTTTTTAATGAGTGCACTGTTATTCATACAGTGTGAAATGTCCAGAAAGAGTAATTTTTAGAACTTCATGATGCTATGTTAAATTCCGCGAACTTTCTGAACAACTCTCTTAGTTTAAATTAGAATTCATAACAGTCTATAAAGTTGTAATTATATATACTTCCCATTTCGGTCAGATCTTTAGTTTGTTACATCGGTCAGGTCTTTATATATTCATGTCAGATTGGTCAGGTCTCTACACTGGTCAGGTCAAGTTATAAAAACTTGATATTACTTCCCAATAATTTAATTATAAATGGAAAATTAAACAAAAAACAAATTTTATTTAAAGCACGTTATAAATATCTGAAGATACATTCAAATATAATCGGTCAGGTCATCGTACAGTCGATTTATAGGTCAATATTGATTTCATAATCTATACTTGGATATAAAAAATATTTCATTTCAGCTGATAGATAAAAAGATTTTAAAGAGTGTGTGTGCTTGAACATATAGAAAATTAAGAGTATTAAGCTTGAGGTAAAAATGTCCGATCAGTCTCTGGTCAGGTCATTAAATTATCATGAAATGAATGTATGGATAAATTGACTAAACATTTGGTATAAATGTTTCTAAAAAATTTTATCTTAGTTTTAATCATTATAATAGATAATATATTTTACAGATGTATCAAATATGAATGATTATTATTTCGTCAGGTCATTCCATATTTGGTCACGTCAATAAATTAGCATGAAATAAATGGATAAATGACTAAATATTTGGTATAAATATTTCTAAAAACATTTTATCTATAAGTATTAATAATTATAATAGAGAACATAATTTAAAAATGTATCAAATATTTTTTAAAAAGATAGATTAATAATGATTATCATTAGGTCAGGTCATTTCAAATTTGGTCAGGTCATTAAATTATCATGAAATGAATGAATAAAGACTAAATATTTGGTAAAAATGTTTCTAAAACATTTTGTCTAAAGTATGAATCATTTTAATAGAGAACAAATTTGAAAAAAGTACCAAATATTTTTAAAAAAAGATAACAAATATGAATGATTATCATTTGGTCAGGTCATTAAATTTTCATGAAATGAATGGATAAATGACTAAATATTTGGTAAAAATGTTTCTAAAAACATTTTATCTAAACTATTTATCATTATAATAGAGAACAAATTTGAAAAATGTATCAAATATTTTTAAAAAGATAACAATTATGAATGATTATCATTTGGTCAGGTCATTTCAAATTTGGTCAGGTCATTAAATTTTCATGAAATGAATGGATAAATGACTAAATATTTGGTAAAAATGCATCTAAAAACATTTATCTAAACTATCAATCACTTTAATAGAGAATATATGTTAAAAATGTATCAAATATTTTTAAAAAGATAACAATTATGAATGATTATCATTTGGTCAGGTTATTTCAAATTTGGTCAGGTCATTAAATTTTCATGAAATGAATTGATTAATGACAATAAATTTGGTAAAAATGATTGAATATACCTTTATTCAATTGAATTACACCTTAAGATTAAGAAAATATCATGAAAAAGTTGATATAAAAACTCAGAATATTGATATTTGGAGAATTTTTTGTTGGTCAGGTCAGTCAGGTCTTTAGTAGGTCAGGTCTTTAGTATGTTCCCTCGGATCGTCACTTCCGGTTTAGTGACATATTTACTATAGTAATCTATTATTCAAGTTATGAGTATTGGATCAGATTCTACATTTTAATTTGAGTTGTTGTGTATTTTGAGGCTATAAGTAGTTCTTTATTGTCAGCATTAACTTTATTATCAGTCAGCTTAATCGGAACTACATTTGTTTACGCTATCGTTGGTAGTTACGATATTCATACGCTACTTTCTTTATTACCTATTGTACAGCCTAGGAATGTTTTATAAACACTGAAGGTATTAATTTATTCGTCTAGTCAAGTTTATGTTATGTATTCTATTTCTAGTTGTTAATTTTACGTTGTTATATTTGTTACGATATTGTACGGCAGCTTGTGTGGCAAAAGTAGTTCTGTGTGGGAACTTGTGTGGGAACTCAGCTTCCCGTACAAGTTGTTGATTGGTTGATAGTTCTTACGGCATATTTTCATTGGATAATTTGAGTCATGTGACAGGGGATGGGAGGTTATATAAGCAAGCGCGTACTACGTTACGACAGATTTCAGCTAGTTGTACGGCGGCAAGATTTAAAAAGATAAAGAAGAAAACAAAGACGGTGAGATACTTATAATGTAAATTACACGTAATTAGCCTAGTTAGAAATCTCCTACCACACTGACCATGGCTGACCATATATGAGTTGATTGATTTTCATAAATATGTATTACTGTACAAAAGACTTCATGGTATGGCACCTGATTATTTAAGAGACTCTTTTGAATTTATTTCTTCTAATAATTATGTTTTACGATCTGAAACCAACTATGACCTTCGTCTACCGAAATATCGAACAGATCAATTTAAAAATTCTTTTCATTATTCCGGTGTTCATTTATGGAACAAATTACCTTTGTATATATGTTTTTCACCAACTGTACACACATTTCGTAAAAATGTGGAAAAATTTATTATAACTTGCCGCAACACTGTTTAAGTAACGTAATTCCATGTCCTAAACTTTTAATTGTACTTGTATTTTTACATCATGTTGTATTATTTAATTAGTGTACAATGTTTTCATACATGTAATTGTATTATTATTAATATGTTTAGAGGGCCCCGAGGAAGACTAGTGCATTGCACTAATCGGGTTACCCTCTTTAAATAAAGTATTATTATTATTATTATTATTATTACTGGACGACCTAAACTTGTGTTTCTGAAGAATCAGCCATGTTTTCTTATGTTGTTATTTGTGTATTGCCTATATTGTTATGATAATGAGATGCTGTATGTACAATAAATGATAAGTGTGACTGATCATTCATCTTAAGTATTATTCCACCAAGTATCTACAGAGAGAGGAGCCTGGTCTATTTTACATGAGAGCAAATTAAATTGGTGCATCCTGGTAAATAGATGATTTATTTAGATGATGAAGTAATTACCTGTATACTGTACATGCTGAGGATTCAGAAATACTAGCCACCCCTTGGGTAGCTTACAATATGATGATGACAAATCTTTTCATCATAAACAAACCCTTGTGTCAAGTATCTGCAATCTCTGCTTAACATTTCACACATTTTACAAATTATCACATTTCTGAAGCCTATGATTGAATTCAAATTATCTGGGCTCTATTCAACAGGATCCCAATTGAATGGAATATGTATTTTACATTTTTTTTTAAAAAGTCGCCCGCGTGGCACAATGGTTAGAGCATTTGTACAAGAGTAATGGAGTAAGGAGTTGTTCCTTATGTTGCAGGTTTGAATCAAATCGTGAGACATGGAGACTGGTCCTTCAGATGAGACCATATTAACTGAGGTTGCAGTAGGCGCTTGCACAAAAAAGATCCCTCATTGCTCAAAGGCCCTTAGTGCCAAATACAGGTCTAAATTCGCATCCCTCCACCTGCATGTGGTGGCATCTCAATATGAGCGAAAAATTCTCAAAGGGATGTTATAATTGCATGGAGTAAACCAGAGGCACCATGTATATGCTAACATTAAATACAGATTTCAAAATCATACTTGGGTAAGTAGACATTCACATGTCCAATAGGCTGGAATTCCATCGATTTTCCCCAGAATTTGGTTCTTATTCTTGTATCTAAAAAAAAAGACCAAAAAATTTACATACAGTATGTCTTGTATCATCAGGTGAATTGCTTTGACTTTGGTTTAATTTCTAATCAAACAATAAATACATGAACAATTATAAGGTATTACCTTGCCAAAGAGTAAAATTCTTGGATTCACAATGACAAGCCGATACAGGAGGGTGATGACTGACCTACGAAAAATAATTATTAAGAGTACCATACGAAAATTACCCATTTCTTTATCCAGAATTTACACACATTTCTCATAAAGATTGATATATACTTTAAATATTCCCATCCTCCATCTTAAGTCTTCTGATGTATGATGACTAATATTCTTGGTTCTCTCTATTTCTCTACCAAAGAACAGAGAATATAAATAGTACAAAAGTAACTCATTACCTGTTCTGCCACAAATTTCCAGCCCTTATCATCCCTGATTAACTCGTAAGTTTCCCCTAGTAATGGGTTGAATGGTTTGTGACCTGCCCTGTATCCAGAGCTAGCATATCCACTTACAGCAAAGGCAGCTATACAGATCTGATAATGAAAATCAAATTGGTAAAGATATGCATACCCCCGGTATGTGAGAAAAATTTTAAGTCTTAAGACTGATATTTTCAAAATGGTCATGTACTGGTAGAATTTCTGTTTATTATCAATTCATCACTGATGAAGAAATATGTTTAGGATGATACTGAATTAACATGAAGATCAATAATTTCTGTTTCTGTGACATCACAAGGAGACAATTCATTCAACTTCTAATCAAAAGAGTATACAGAAATAAAGATTTTGGTCAATTTTAGCTCTTGTCTGTTATAATTTTTAAATCTAACCATCCTCTGGTACGGATCATCCTTTTCTGTAGCCCTATCCAGCAGTTCACTGTACTCCATCTCCTCACACAACCTCTGAAGAATTCAAAATGCATGTAAATCACCCTAGTCATGTGTATACATGTATATAAATGTATATAAACCTGAAAATCTTTCAAGAATCTACAAGTATGAAATATCATTTACATGTCCACATTGTGTCCTTTAAAGATACATGTATTTGGTTCAGATGAAAAACTGAATGAATTGCTCATTTTACTTAATTTAAAACAAAATCCTAAGATTATATTATGCAGCCGTTGCCAATTTGCATTCATTATACTGATATTTATGTATCTGTGCTATTTGTTGATCAAATGATTTGTGTCCTTCCAGTAAACCTCTCTTACCTGCAGCATACTCAGTGGCTCATTTAGAGTGACTGGCATTGATATTTTGGTGAGATCCTTCCCAATGTTTTTGTACAGGATATTCCACAAACTGATGTCTCCTGCATCAGGCTTAGGGACAGGAAGTTTGGATCGTCGACCCGTCTCAAAGGATACAGACAACTGATCTTCTGATACTATCAAACAAAAGAACGAAAGGAAGGTTTCATACATCAGGTATTCAGGTGCACGTTTTCTTACTCTATGGTTTGCTATACATTTTATCTTGAATTATGTTAGAATTTTGTTTTATGTACATGTAAACAAGTGTGACAATGACTGTGATTAATCTGGAAGTTGGGGGACTGCTCAAAGCTTGAAAAAAATTAGAACTAGACTTCAAGATTACATTATATTTAGAATGCTTTGAACTTTAATTCTCAAGTGTTGTACAGTGTATATTGTGAACAAAATAATTTTAAAAAAATGAAATCAACTAACTTCAAGTAAACAAAACTCAAAACAACCAAAGTCCAGCACAGGACTTTGATCTGAACTTAAATCTTAGCATCCAAGTAATACAACTTACACATCATCCATAAAACTGGAAATCAAATAATTCTCACATGCTTTATGTAAAACTGGTGTAAACAATTAACTAAATATTTATCATAATATATCATATAATTGACTATATATTTTTTGTGCACAACAAAAATGTATTCATAAATATAAATATACATGTATGCTTATACTTATCTATAAATAACAGATGTCTCTGAAGAAATTGTAGCTCTACTGGTTTGAAATTGTTATCGTCTACACAAAAAGTTGCAGTCTAACTTCTACTGTATTTTTTTTTATCCTTTAGTTTAACATTATAGAATTATGTGTATTAGACGGCAAGACCAAAACTATACGAGAAGTATCAAATTAAAAGCATTTAAATAATTTTTTTGTAAACAAGGCCAGACTGTTTATTAAAATCCAAAACTGTTACATGGAATTATGTACTCTGACATACTCTACAAGTGGTCCAGTTTGAATAAAAAAACCCAAAACTTCTGGAGGAGCATTTTGAATATTATTTATAGACAAATGCATAGACAATGGAACTTTAAATCATAACATACAATTTGCCATGAAATTCAAGTTAAACGAGTTTTTAAAGAAAATGAAATGAAGTGACATGAACTGCATGTAATAATGCATTTCTCAAAACGGTATAATTTGACATTATATATATTTATTAATTGGGTAAAACAGGTAGCCCTAATTTTCTCTCCACAATGCCCAATTTTCCAAAGATTATGAAATTATTGGCATTTAATTTACAAATTCGAGATGCATATGTTTTTGTTGTTTTCAAAACTTCTTACTAATATTGTGTGTTTGTTTTCTTTTGGTTTGTTCTGTCTGATTGAATTACCAAGCAATGCAGTACTAGTAAAAATGAAAGGGAATATGATGGATTCTTAGATGTACAATGTACATGTATATGTACATATATATATATATATATATGGTGCATATCATTAAATTTAACATCGCATAGCATTAAGTACATGTATATAAGTCTGTGTAATTCCGATAAATGTATTTCCTCTAATAAAAGGCTGATTTCTGAAATGTGCCAGTTTCAGCTTATGATTTTTTTTTACTACGTTAAACTTACCCCCTACAATTTCTGTATGACCATTTAATATAAAAAAAATTAGATCACTATAATTCAATTATGAAGTGCTTTCACTCAGTTCAACTAAAACTTTATGCTTAAAAATCTATGAAGAAAAAATATATGAGACATTCTATACAACATTTACATGTATTTAAATACCCCCTCTTCCCTCTAAAATCAAAAAAAAAAAAAAACTTGTTACAAAATAATACATAAGAAGCTGCTTATTTGAAATTCTACAGAGTGAATTACACAAGGGGACCTAAATTAAAAGTATCGAACACTTTTGAAATTAAAAACATGTATAATGCACATGTATGCTGAAGTAGGAGAACCTACCACTCTGGGCTGCATTATATTCTGTGTCATTTTCCTCACTGGACAAATCCTCTTCATCTGACCTCTGAAAAAAAAACAAGGATGTGTACTTCAGGCAACATATCTCTAACATTATAACTCTGATATAATATACTACAGTGTGATACACCAAGAGTAAATAATGTGTGTGTGTGAGAAACATGTTCATTCATCAGAATCTCACAGTAGCATCCCAAACAGGAAAGTAGTGACATGAAAGTGATGTCAACAATGAACTGATCAAGGATACAAGCTAATTCATTGCCATTAAAAAAAAGATGTACTTCATTCGTCATGAATATTAACACTATAAATGTAAGCCTTGAAATAAATAATTATGAAAACAATATTGGCATATAATGGCAACAGATAATTCTCAGTGGAAATCAAAGGATTTCACCTTTTTTTTTTAAATCACTACCTAAATTTAAAGAAGATGCCTCTTATGTCATGTATACACAAATAATCAAGCTTAATTGTCACATATACCCTCATTTTTGGATTAGATTTTTACCTCTGAGGAGGACTCGGACACAGATTCTCGGTTCTCTTCCTCTGCATCATAGTACTCGGACATGGAGCAGGTGTCAAAAGAAGACGACTTGGTCAGGTCAAGGTGATCCTGATAAAAAAAAATTCCAGATGTCATACTAGGAGCCACATTTTTCTAAAATTCCAGTTTTAATTTACCTTGATAACAGTAAATCTGGTGGTCGATTTCATTAATAAATCAGTTTCTTACATAGTAAAACACAGTTACAGCAAACATGATTATAATGCATTCAAGCCTACATAGATGTGATTTTCATTCCCTGTAGTTTTAAAACATATTAGGAGCTTATCAGATATAATGAATAATGTTTATAATGAATCAAAATTTTTTGTCCCTTGCACTTCATAAAATAAAGCATATTTTATGTACATGTAAATGTTTAATTGATATAATCTCTATGTATGTATGGACATTTAGTCCTGAAACACTGTAAAACACAATGGGATGAAAAATATCTTCCTGGCAAAGAAAAACTTGTCCTTTTACACATTCAGCATAGACTTACTCTGTTCTCATTAGGAGAGAGTATTGGTGAGGAAGGTGTTTGTTTGAGGTCAGGGTAAGAAGGAATTAAAGAATCTGCATGAATCCTGCTCAGTCTGGCTTTAAGATCAGCATTCTGCCTTAGAGCCTACAAATAATTAACAAACATTCACAAAACACTGAAACACCATCTCTAAACACACTGTTCATTTCATCACATGTTTTAATCAAGGGAATAAATACCTCATGCAGATTTTGCTTCAGTAGTACCACCGCACTGGAGGGTAAGGCCAGATCACTGTCCATTTCTAAGGCATTCTTTAACCTTTCCCTCTCTGTTGTCATTGTGTGTAGTAATGATTTCAGATTCTTGTGAGCTGTAACATTTAAACTTTAAAGCTTTACCTTATACAAAATACTGTAAACATACATAAATTAATGTACTCAAAGTTTAGCAATCTTCCTCATCAACTGAATAGAGTAAAAATACAAGCTTCTATATGTATTCCTTTTAATCATACATTAGTGTGTACTTGAATTAGCAGACAAGAAGCAGCACCAAAGGGCTAAAATATCCCAAATTAAATATGTGTATCATACTAAAGATGAACTGTCATTTCAATTAAAAAAAAAAAAAACTTTTCTTGTTTACATTTCTTCTGTTTTGAATTATTATATTCTCATTTTCACCTCTTTCAGCCTTTGTACAGAAGTCCTCTCTCAGTTTGATCTCCTTGATTTGTTGTTCATGTGCCGCGGCCATTGTGACATGATCTGGTACACTTCGTGGTCTGTTGGAGTGGTCATGGGCGTACTGTAGCAGGTTAGGGTTAGAGCTGCTGCTCCTCATTTGTACCTCCCCTATACTGGGAGATGGGGATGTGGCTGTGGTCTAAAATTGACACAAACATCTAACATTACAAATTGACGAAGACTTACATCCTGAAAATTATCAGGCAGTTAAATTTCTATGAACAACTTTAATTTTTTTTTTTTTATAATCAAAGCATGTTTATTCATAATTGACGTGCAACATACATGTAAATATACCAAAATATAAACTTTTAAGACTGCTCAACTAAATTATCTGTTTTATATCACACCATTTGTACAACTGTGAAAAGTACAGGACATTTGCTTGCAAATTTCTAATTGTTGTTTAAAATCATATTCTTTTCCTAGTAAAATAGATAATAAAATCTCATTTCATAATTTTTGTTTCTTTTTTACATACAGGACTGGCATCGTAGTTGACTGAAGTATCACTCTTTTTATCTCTTTTCCTGGAACTCTTCAGTCCCTGGGCCTTCATTTTCTTCTTATCCACATTTTCAGTTTCTTTAACCTTAAGGCACAAAAATATACAACAAATGAGGATAACAGTGTCTTTAATTAGTAGTTTTTGTTCTCTTTCAGTATTGATGGGAAGTGTTCATCAATGCATTAACCCTCTAAAATTTCCCTAGCTTAGGACACAGTAAATCAATTCTTTGCATTATGTCCCAAGATCAGGTAGGAAAATCCATTTAAAAAAAAACAATCACATGCATGTCATATTTTTCACTATTTTTCTCTGTATTTTCTGGAAATATCCAGATCCATTTAATCTTTATGTTACAGTATTCTTGAAATCTGAGAGAAATAAGAAGTTGATTAAATGACCTTGGGTCAAGGGCATGACACACCTTCAGGTCATGAGCAATCTTTGTATGAAGTGTAAACTTCCAATGTTTCTCCATTAAAAGTTGTAGACAGGACAAAAAGTATATACTTTTTCTGCCAGTGATCTTAAAATTATTGAATGATCTTGGTCCAAGTCATGACACACCCCCATGTCATAAACAATCTTTGTACCAAGTATGAGCTTCCAATGATTTCTCCATTACAAAGAGAAGACTACATGGACAGACAGAGAGACAAAGTGATCCTACCCCCCCCCCCCCCCAAAAAAAAAAAAAGAAAAAATTGTTTACGAGGGGTTTAAAAAGATAATCTCTTGCTTCAAAAAAAAAAAAAAAATGCCAAATTTAATTTCACATTTTTGGTCTGAGAAACTAAAGACTAATTTTTTGTCCATATTTATGCTATTGTGTGAAATTGCATTTTTTTTTCAAATGATCAGAGTACCTGAAAATAAAGAATACAAAGTACATATCATCTTTTTCTCATTTATAATCAAATATTCTCTTAATTATTGAATGTGTTTTCTAAATGTGTGGGGGTTCTTTTTCTTTTGTTTGTTTTTTGCTTTTTTTGTGACTGGAGGATACATTTTAGAAGAAGAAATAACGGACGTAAAACAAAGATATTGTTTACCACTGCCTTATTTCTTCAATGGATGGCATCCACAACATTTCACTGTTGCATAAATTTGTAGTACTTGTAATAAAACACACTCACCTCTTGATCTGAAGTCAATGGAAGATTTTTTATCTGATCCAAGTCCTCTCTGAGCTCACACAAAAGTTTCTGAGTATTCTTCATTTCTACAAAAATGCAATATTTAATAGGCTTATAAACGTATCTTATTCAATAGACATTTTAAGAAGGACCTACAGATTTAATCCATCAATAGGTTACATACAATACGTTCTATTTCCACTATGGAAGAGTTATACTTCTTAGTGCGCTCTTTTGTGAAAAAGTCGGAAAATGTACAAATCTCACGGGATTTCTGGGACAAACGTAACATAAACATGTAATCAATATATTGAATGTCGATGAACAATTCCTAAGAAAATGCAAATGAAATGTTTATTGTTGTGGACTTTATATACATCAAGAGTAGGAATGACAACGATATCGATTTATATCTATTGTTGATCGTATGTATCTATTTATCGTATGGTACATCTAAATACAATACACATGCCTCGGAAATGTCATATTTTTTATTAATGGATGATAAAGTTAGGGGTCTCGCTCTCTTAAATATGTCCTTTAGTTCTTCTATTCTTCAACTGGAATGACAAATACATTTAAGATTTAAAATTGGATTGAGATTGGCATGTTTTGTATTATCCGCAACGCCATGCTGTCCCAGTCAGACGACCAAACGCGCCTCTAATTTTGAAGAGTTCACTAATGGAAATATAACGTATTCAACCAATTTAGTTACACAAATAAAAATACATTCCAGTAAGTTGGATGCCATTAATCCTGATGCTTCACCTCTCAGATGCTTCACCTTTCAGATGAAAATTGTGGGGAACAGAATTTACATTCATCTCTAAAAATTATAATACCGTAGGTACTTTTTATTACTGGGGACAGTTCATTGATCTGAATGACTTGCTTGGAAACACAAGACTCCACATTAATTAGAGTCGACTGTATATTTTATTTTGCATTGTGTAAAACCAGAACGTATCAAGTGACACCATCTTTAAAGTCTTCTAATGACTTACCTTTATTACAGTGCTCAAATCCCGCCGTGTCCAGCAGCCATGTTGCCACTCGTCCTTGGGAGGAACTTTGACTCTTAAAGCTTGATTTTCTCATTACAGGGATCATGTCATTGGAGCCCATACGTTGTGTCTCCCTCTTCAGAGCCTCTGGCAAACCTATACCTACTGACAAGAGAAACTCAATATAACTTTCTCAATTTATTAGATTTGGAAGAAAATTGTTTTTGTAGTGTATAAAATTGGAAGTAGAATCCTGTAGAATTGCTTTAATTTTGACTTTAAGTTTAGATACCACAAATTAGGTATCTTCTATTATATCTTTAAAGGAAAATGCCTTAGGAAAGATTTTTTAATCTAATGTGATTTCAGAAAATAGAAAAATTTATATACCTTTCTCAGAAAGAAAACTCTTTTAGTTTGTGTTTCAATACACACCAGGCAAGAGTAATTAGAATTTACAAGAATTGAGTATCTTAATATATGGAGATACAACTGTTTTTAATATACCAGTTAGTAAATAGGGCCTATTCAATTAATTCTTGATATACAATGTATTGTAAACCAACTATTATTCCAAACAATTTTTTTTCAATTCATCAGTCAAAAATTCATCAGCGACTATTACTTTTTTTGACTGGGGAACATTCTATATAATATTTTGGAGTGAAAGAAGATCACAAAACTTGCTGATAATTCATGAATGGAAATAAAAGTAAATTTACAGTACCTGGAGAAAATGGACTGGTCAAATCCTCCACTGGGGAGGTTATACCAGTTAATTTTGGTGACTCGTTGGTACCATACGCAATCTCGTGCTGCCTGTACAACCTGTGATGTCGGAACACGTTCAGCCATTCATCAAACATTTTCTTGTCTTTCATCTGTGTAAGATATATTAATAATGATATAAAAGCATTATTTTCATATCAAGAGAGGTTCTTCCCAAATTACAGTTGAACTTTGGTAACATGGATAGCTCTTGTACCATGGAAATGTCGAAGTGACTTGGAAGTCAAAACCTCCTTTAACCTCCGTACAGTAAAACATGGTTATAGGCTTATAGCTAACCTCCATATAGTAAAACATGGTTATGGCTAACCTCCAACATGGTTATAGCTAACATACTTAAAGGAATTTCCGCTTATTGTGAAGTGATTTTCATTCCCTGTGGTTTAAAAACATATTTTGATCATAACAGATATAATGTCAAAAATTTTTTGAATTGCAGTGATAATATATGCATGTCAGTAACATACAGATCAGTGAACCTGACAGGAAGATAACGGTACAAGTACTTCCTTCATTTCAGACCTGATCTATGTAGAATGCTACACAGACTATTAATTTCATGCTTACAATAATAATCACAGCTGTCTTACTTTGAGATGGTAGACAATATCTTCAGCATCAATATCAATCCGCCGAGGCTTTTTGTAAGAGACCACAGCCAGCCCTGTGTCAATAACACCATGATATTTTCCTTTCTGTATCTAAAACAGGCATTTCAGCTCATTACCCTGTGCTCAACTAAAAATCTTCATAAGGAGATAAAACGATTTAATGTTTAGGAAAAATTTCACTAAACATATTAAAATAAAATATTGGACCAATTTAAAAAAAAAAGGATTTGAGCTTAATTATAAAATGCATTTTCTATAACATACATTTTTATGCTTTAGAAAATAGACATATACTTGGGCATCATAGTATTACAAGACTTACATCTGCTGGGGACTTGGCATAGTACACTATTCCTTTCTCAACCAAGAAATATCTCTGTAAAATTATAATAATAATGTTTCTAAGAATATTTTGTGTCTTAAATCATAAATAAAATTCATTGAAATTTTATTGAACAGTATATAGTAACTGTTTTGAAAGACTAGTTATACATGTACCTTCAATTTCCATTTGATAGTGGGGAAGGGGGGTGGGGGGCTTGTCATTACTTATTAAAATATAACTTCTTAAAAAAAAACTTTATCCACATCCTGGGAGAGGGTGTCATTTCAAAAATCTATCTATGAACAATAGGCCAAATTCCATACGGTATGTATAAAGCAGATTTCACTATGCAAGACTTAATTTTCAAACTTTTTAAGAGCAGAATTGCTCAGGAAACTTTAACAGATCCTTGATTTGTACAACAGACACCTGCATCATCTAAAACAAGAAAGGTCATAATTGTATCCTTGGATGCCAGATCTAAGCAATTTTGTTCTATTTTGAGCTTATACTGGTAGTTACTTGGGAATGGACCTGCTTGAGAAATTGTAACTTGCATGATAAGTCAACTACAAAATAAAAGGTCACATGTAGTATTTCCAGCAATATGCATCCATACATGCAACATACATGCAACACTGCAAGTTTGGTCAATGTAGTATATAAATTCTTTTTTATAATAACTTTGAAACAAACGATGACATTCCTAACAGTACATTCTGGTTTTATAGCAATCAAATAAAAGTCCTTGTTGTGTAATTTGTCAAATGGCAAATCAAACAGCATGTGACTGATTGAAGTTTCTCAAAAACATCAATATACAAGTTTTTTTTAATTTAAAATTAAACAAAGCACAATAATGTATCCTCTTTCCAAAAAATGCAAAGCATGAGTGATATAACACAACGATAAGTTAGAGAGAAGATCCTGTATATTCTATAAATTTATGTAACATGGAGTAAGAAAAGGAAATCATTTGTACATAACAGAATATTTTTGGTGACAATAATTACGAAGAGTGAGCTAAAATTTAAGTATGGTATATGTATATGTATCCTACCTTATGCCAGCCCTTGAGTGGCCATCGGCGCCGCTTCATCAGAAAACCACTGAACTTATCTGGTTTCTTGTCACACCTCACCCCATCTTTCAGTCCCTCTAGAATCTCCCAATCTGTGTGCCGAGGCTTCCGAGCTTTACGGGCCTTTTTACTAGAGGTGGTGGATTTATGTGAGCTGTTCTGCCTGAGGGGAGCTGAACTTTTGCTGTTCTCCACCTGGGAGCTAGAGATTGAGACTTCATCTGACCCATCCTACAAACCAACAAAGTAAAAACTGTTATCATTTCCTTTTTAAAAAAAAAAAAAAAAAAGTAAATGGCCTTTAACTTGAATATTCCCTCGCTAAATCAATACAAAACAGACAAAATTATACTCATCAAACCTCTAACTTCCAATCCATTACTATTCGAAATAGAACTAAGTTGTGTTGTTCTCATTAAATAGCATATGGAAACAGTCTATTTTTAGTAATACATGCCTATCTGAAGAGCATGAAATGTACAAAAATGCCGAGTGTAAAATACTCCAGTTAAAAAGGATGCTATGCATGTTAAGTGTAGTCAAGTGGTTCTTTTCAATGGCTTACATCTATTTCCTCTCCCCCATGCTCATGCAGAAGAAAATAAGAATGTACATATCATTAAGACCATAAAATTACAAGTACAGTAATTTGTCTTGGGTATTGAGGATATGTCTTTAAAAATCTACTGGTTCATATACAACTAAGATGTATTTTTGCCTATCCTATTACTAAGATAATGGTTAAAGATTTTAGGTGTGACATTCGACACAGAGTACTTAAGGAAGGAACATACGGTCATGTTTTTTTTTAAATTGTTATATTTAAAATAAAACAGATATAGAAGAGTAAATACACTTTGGTTATTCTAAATTTTATTTTATGTTTTAGGAACCTTTCTTATTTAAATTAAACCATATCCAATGAACAAACAGCACACAAGAAAACTTCTAAAATGAACCAAAACAATGCATGTTCTGTGTTTTAACATCATCTATTATAATTCATTACACAGCATCCATCATATAGTTCTCAGACCGTTTACTGCATGATAGATTCCATGATATTTTTTCCAGGTATTTTCTACATGTTAAGCACAAAAGTGTTCCTATCAGAGATGATATTAGATATTTACACATAACAGCACTCTGAACAGTGTATCCTAAAATAAAGCTAAGCATATCCTATTTTACTCCAATTTCTGATTGACAATGACAACGTAGTGTACAGTATTAAACTGACCTTCCTCCTTCCCTCCATATAACACCGTTTATGACATTCCTACACCAGAACTCTACAAACTACCAACACCTTAAGAGGCATTCCGCAGTCAGAAGCTTAATTAGTCCCTGTCAATTAATCAATGACTAATCCCTATATGTCCAGTTCAGTCACACGCCATATGTCAATATGTAGTCCAGCAGTGAGTGTGTATTTTTACACCATAACAGACAAGACGTTGTACATGTAGTCAGACTGAAGTCTGCACAATAGTATCAAGGAAGTAACGGAATTTAATCAGATGCAAGCAGACAGGATGAGCTACATTAAAATTTCAATCTTGAGAATATTCCTTTTCTGTAATGTGTGCAAATTTTCTCATGCTTTAAAAAAATAAATGTAAATACATTGCAAATGCATAAATTGCATATTGTCAGTCTGTTTGCAGTTTTGCTTCTTGGCAGAAAAAAATTCAATTACTCTTTGTGGCAAATTTTATTTTTAAAACATGACACCTTGAAAACTAATAGAATTATTGGATTTTGTTACAAAGAAATGAATTATTTGTACAGCAAGACGGTCATGCTTGCTTACACTCTCTCAATTCACCAACATTTTTTTTTTATCTGCAACATGATGACTTACAGTAAAACTAATCATGCAGACTTTACCATATTGCTACAAAATTCTGTACTATGTTTTTATTCTTCAGAAATCAGATTATATTCAATAATCCAGCTTATTAATTTGTTCTCTATTTGGCTGTAAACTATAGTATGTCACACACTGACTTATCATAGCCTGACCTTTATATGTACTTCATTTGGACAGTTTGGACAGACAATATTGACAAAATTAAGGTAACATCATCGATAATTCAAGCTAACAGCAGCCTAAACTGGCATCACCATCCATCATATTTCCTCACTCAATACACTACAACCATTGATTTTAGCAAGAATAAATTTTGTCAATGAATCCATCAGAATTATAACAAGCATATTCTGTTAAATAATTGTTAACCTAGTAAATAACTGAAATGTAGGACACTTTAAGTGCTGCTATATTACATAATTTTATGATCTTTAAAATGTGTAAATTAGAAAGACTACCGGTATTCTTTAACCATTTCATTCTTCAAAAATTTTTTTTTTCCAATGACCTTGACCATTATGACTAATGAACTTAAAAATCAATATTCCAACTTAATTGTTCTGAAATTTCTTATTGCAGAAAAAAGAGAAAACTGGTAACAAATGAACAGACCAACCTGGATTTATACAATCTTCACAATGGTAAACCTTGAATTATTTCCTCCTATATTAAATCTTTAAGTTAGTAAAACATTTCCAATTTGTTTACCAAGCAGTCCCCAAAAAATTATGATGAAGGATTGTTTGGTAATTGGTGAGATGTTGGACTGCTATGTCATTTTTTACATTATTTGCATTCGTTAATCCTCAGATAAGATGGGATCAGCCAACACAAGTAAACACTAGCTATATATGTAATAAAAAGTAAAAGTTATAAATTATTTACTGACTGGGTTCCTGGTCAGAATGCTGAAAATGTTGCCTTGGCCTAATGGCCTAAGGCCTTCATTATATTCTTGGGTCCTTTGAAAGGCATACTGCCTTCTAACTCAGTCAGTAACTGTAAAGTGCCACGGAGTTGCTTCCTTTTTTGGAAAAAAGGGGTGTCAACTAGGAGAAGAAAACCCTATTTTTTTAGTGCTTTTTTGCCACTTAAGTCTAGCAAATACCTCAGCTTACTACTGAAAATTCTTGGTAGATTTGAAGTTGTCACACAAAATGTATATATTCCATAGACTTAGCAGTAATTGATTTTTAACAGAGAAGTCCTGAAGATATACTGAAAACTTGCAAAGGGTAAAATTGGAAAATTAGGTTTTACTCAAATAATGCAGCAATAAAGAGACACAATTGTGGAATGTCAATTAAGCATTTTGCAAACCAAAAAAACAAGAGATGCTTATGAAACACTTATCTCCCCCCCCCCCCCTTCAAAAATAATTGGAATTTTTCTAAGTCCAAGGGGCATAACTCTGTCAAAAATTGCTCGATCATACCCAAAACAACACTTGACCTAGATATTTTTATGATAAATCTGTAATACCAATTTCATTTCAGTATGTGCAACCTCTGCGAAGAAAATGAATGGAAACTGCAAAAAATTGGAATTTTTCTAAGTCCAAGGGGCATAACTCTGTCAAAAATTGCTCGATCGTACCCAAAACAGAACTTGACCTAGATATTTTTTTAATAAATCTGTATACCAAATTTCATTTCTGTATGTGCAACCTCTGCGAAGAACGGAAACTGTTGGTGGACCGACAGACAGACTGACCGACAGACAGCAGCAAAGCAATATGCCCTCCCTTCTTCGAAGGGGGGCATAAAAATATAGACACAAAAAACATTAAGAATTAAATAACTCAAGAAAATCTGAGTTAAACACCTTTTGTCATGTTTAACATACTCTTATCTTAGCAAACACATACTATTCTGAGATATCCCATGATACTCAGTGACTAAAATACTGAATTTGCATTTAACTGCACTTTCAGTTTATGCTTGGAGCTGAAAGCTCAGCCAAAAAAAGTGAGATGGTTCATGACTCTCAAGTGAACTAAGTCTTCATCTGTTCTATCTCGAGATACTTACTGAATCAGACTCAGATTCACTGTGTCTGAAGTGATGCTTTGAGCTGTTCTGTGAGACTTTGCGAGTTACTCCTGGTGAATGATTGAGCAGTGGCAAACTTTTTACTGGTGAGATGTTGGTAGACATCTTGTAACATCAGTTCAATTTTTCAACTCTAAAAACAGACCAGAAAGCCATTGAATGATCACATAAATGTAAAAAAAAAAAAATAATAATAATAACATCTTATCTACCAACAACATTATTTACCTACAACTCATTCATCACAAAGTTTTAGATGTAAAATACAGGAAAATCTTCTGGAACAAACACAGTATGTATATATTCTTACTAAAATGAAAGAAACAAGATCACCACAAGAAATTAAATGTACCCGGTATGTTTTTCATTCCTCACACATTTTGTAAAAAGCTATCAAAGCATGATTATATTCACCTGGCATTTCTATTAGAATTCAAGCACAGAATATTCATCTGTAATAAGATTTAATAAACTTATTCAGTTCAGCAGTATTATACATGTATTCTAGGTCTAGCTACTCTTAAAATCGGAAAGTCAATGAATACAGAATAAAAAATCTAATTCCTATTTTACCATCTAACATGTCTAATGAACTTCATTTTATTTCCTAGAACATCCCCTGCATTTATAACTTTCCCAGCCTCAAAACCCTGTCAGCTGGGATAAATTGGTGTATTAGGTGAGAAAAGCCAAGGGTTTAATTCAATTCCCAAAGTCAATCATTCTTCACACTTCAGATATGTGGGATCTGAACAATTTTTTTCCTAAGTACAGTCCTATACAAGCCTCTATCTAACAATCTATCCGTCATGTAAATGTAGTATTAGCTAGCTCACAAATAAGGTTTTTTTTTTTACAAGTAATTGCTTGCGGTCCCAATGGTTATGATCCTCCTTATACTCCAAAGTTCTACATCAATACTCCAGGCCTGTCACACAAGTAGTCAGAGATGCTAGCATTTGCAGTAATGAAATATTTAGAGGAGGCTTTTACAACCACTTCTACAGACAGACTGACTTGAATGAATGTTGCCCCATTATAAGGTCATTTACACATCAGTAATCTCCCTTGATGAGGTATGCTAACATTTGTAAGAAATGTTTACTTCAATATATATCATGATATATTGACCGAATGCTTTAACTAGAATGAACACAGTTTTGCTTGTATCATTTTTTTTTTATATAGTTCAGTTAAATTATGTTTTGATCATAAATCTTGATCAAAAGTGGTGTAATGAAAATCTTTTAACACTTTTTGTACCTGCATGATTAGATTGGCAGAGTTATCTACTGTATGTATGTAATGGACTTGCAATAGTGATTTTTTTTTCATGATTCATTTAAAGACAAGGATGTTGAGAAATACAAAGCCCTTTCCCAAGAAGTTTATGATTTTTGAAATTATTTTTCAAGATCTTGCTGTCATAATTCAATAACATACCAGATTTGATGTCTTTATCCCTTTTTTCAAAGACCTTGGATTATTCAATAAAATTCTTAAAGGATTCATCTCCTATGAAATGACATACAATAACTAAGAGGCTGTTGTACCTTTAATAATATACCAGTAGAATACCAACTGATTATGAAAAGCCATTATTCCTACATGCCAAAATTACAACAAAATTACAATATTTCCAAAGCTTTCATTGATTAAGCTGCAGAATATGAAGTCAATATAATTAAAGTTATAAAGCTCTCCAATAGTCAATAAAATTTTAATATTCTCAAGAAAAAGTACACAACATAATTTTCTCTTGGTCTTAGACTATATTGTTATAAATCTTCACAAAATAGCCCAAGAATCTAACACTGAAAATTAAAATCTTTCTTTTTATTGAGATGACTTTGAATATTAAATACAGATGAAAGAACTCATGCTGATATTCACCTAAATAAACTGAACTAGTCTATAACTTCCTTGAAGGATTCAACTTTTAATTAATGGTTTAAAAAAGATCAATGTTCTGAATCTGGTGAAGCAGTCTCTGTTTACACATCCCAGATGAAATTTTTTTCAAGCCTATACAATATTTTACATCTAGGGTGAGTTAACCATGCATCGGACACATAACTTTAAGCACTAAACTTTCATTGAACCTGAGTCTCTTCGTGTTTTTACTTGTTTCTGTCTTAAAGGTGAAGATTTAAACTTTTTAATGATGCTGATTTTTATTTTCATGTTGTGACAAAAATATCACAAGAATGGCCTTGAAATTACGTCATATTTTGCATCATCAAAGGGGAGTAACCAGAATTTTGCAATTTTTACCATGTTATTTAGAGTTAAACAAACACCATCTTCCAAGGAACTTTGAGTAGAAAGAAATTAGAGTTGTCGTTCTTTTAAAAAGACTTCAACAGAATGAGTTGGACCTAGATAAAAATTGTCAATGATTGATAATTTTATGGAAATTTTTCAAAAATTTTACTTCAATGTTTGTTTAATATATTTTAGAGTTGTTTTTTACTAGTATGTTTATTTCACTGTACATCAGACACAAATTAAGTATGCATCAGACACTTTCCGATGCATGGGTAATCACTTCCATTTTCATATAAAACCCACATGACAGCTGTTTTTTATGGAAATACAAAATAAAAACTCTAAATTTTCAGTTAAAATACAAGTTTTCGATATATGACCACCAGAGGTGGACTCAATTTATTTCTTTAAACTAGATGATGATAACCCATGAGACAAAGGTGCGAGTTGCCATATTACTATCATTGTAAAGCCTTTCTTAGGCTTATTAAGCGCCCAAACAAACAAAAGTCAACCGTAATTTGGTTCATCCAGTTGTTATCCTATGCAATAACTGGGTTTAATAATTGGATTTTGAAGTTCAAAAAGTCATATTTGGGTTTAATTTTTCATTTATTCTTCAAAATTATGGCTCTTATCAGCTTATTGAGAAGGCCTCCATGTGACAAGAGCTGGGCAACAGTATCGTTATCATTTTTTTTTTTAGGGGGGAGGGGGATAATAAATGATACCGGCAAACATTCTCATTTCTTTGGAAATGTTTTCTATAAGATTATTCAAACTAATATTAATCTTATCTATTAATCATTTCCTGTATCACGCTGAACAAACAAAAGAAATAAATAGCATAAATTAGTAAAGAGACAAAATTTAAGGGGCTTTTTGCAAATGAACATTCTATAAAAATATCTAAGGGGCGCTTTGACAAAAATAAGGGGGTGCTTTGACCAAAATCAGGGACTGACCATTGCTTGGTGATGGTTTCGAAACTGAATTTTTCTATAAAATTATATTAAGGGGCGCTTTGACCAATATTTGGGGGCGGTTTTGTAACATCATTTTACTGTAAAATTTCTTTAGGGGGCGCTTTGACCAAAATCAGGGGGCTCTTTGACCAAAATCATGAGACACTTTGACCGGAACAGTTTTGTTAGGGGGCAAATTGACTGGATTTCGGACAGCCTTAGCCTATCCGCGAGTTAGATTTGCCAGAAAATACAGTTTTTGGTGTCATATAAAGAGCATATCATTATTGTGTAATGTTATATCAAGTTGAACACCTTTTTGAGTTTGAAGGATAGGATAAATTATTTTCTTTAAATTTTCCCAATAGCCTGGTCACAGCATAGATCTGGTAACAATCATTAGACTGCAACTTTTTCTAAACAGGCTCTACTGCGAATAAGTTTTTGTGCTATTTGCCCAAAGTAAAATAGTCAATGAACTATTCACTGGCAGCATTGATTTCCCTCATGTTTTGTCTTGGAACTTTGCTACTTTTATCTGAATCATGACATGACACAGGTAGTCTGCTTTGAGAACCCATTTTACTGACCATTCGGACAATAGCAAGTTTATTGTCCCATGACAGCAACTATTTCCATGGGGAAATAGTTGCTGCCTTGGGGGACAATAAACTTGCTATTGTCCTTATAGCCAGTAAATAGGTTTATAATATTTATCAATATATAATAATAACAATATATACAATACTCTGTAACTTGTTATACAATACTGTTTCCCAAATGGTATAGAACTATATAGATATATTTTGGCAAGGCTTTTAGAGCTATAAATTTGTACAACATTTCAATGAGATCAAGTCCATCTTACAACATTACAGTAACATGGGATATTATTCTGTAGTAAGGTTGAACTCGTCACTGCACCAAGGTGCGACTTTTTGTGCATACTTGGAAAATAACACATTTGAGAAAAAAGTGTGATAAAATTGCTAAATCAAGCTATTCTGAATAGCTTTATAAAGCTATATAGCTAAATCAAGCTATATAGCTTAATCAAGAGATTGTGCCGGACCTGTCATATTTTATCCATTGAGAAAATACTACCCTTTGGTAAAGCTTTCGATCAGGGAGTCTTACTATATAGGAAGACTTCGAGGGAGGGGGCTAGCTAAGCTATAATTATACTATTCTAGTACCGGTACTTGCATTAACTGATTTAGCAATTTGACAAAATCGTATGTTTGTTACCGAGTAACGTAACGTCTTTATATACTTAAAATTAATCTGTAAATGGAAACTGAATAAATTATGCCAACGACAATACTTTAAATGTTTTTTTTAAACTATTCTTAATGTAAGTACTCACAAATTTTAACTCCAATGCTTTCGTCCAGTTTTGACTTCACTTGACAGCCATCTTTCCGGATGCTGATTACCCCCCTTTTTCGGTGACTAGATAGCGCTTTTTAAGGGTGCGTCGATTTACCCAAATGGACCCAAATGGAACCCAAATGGACCCAAATGGAACCAAATGGACCCAAATGGAACCCAAATGGAAATCAAATGGACCCAAATGGAAACCCAAATGGAAATCAAATGGATCCAAATGGAATATTAAACATATATTATGGTATTCTCAAGTTGTTACTTATTTAAAATATGGAAAATAATGAACTTGCAAATGGAGAATATTTTAAATTATTCATCTCTAATATTTTTTTTTAAAATAAGAATTAATCTTTTTTCTATTTGTAATAACATTTGCATATCATTGAATACAAAATTGAAGTATTTCTTTTTAAAGTTTATATAGTTTTCATGGCCGTAGGAACCGTTGGGGGGGGGGGGCACAGACCTGTGCCCCCCTCCTCCCCCCATAATTTTGCCGATATATAGAATACTAAAGAAAATTAATTAGTATTTTAAAATACAATATAAGAAATGAATAATTAATATTCTACATTTGTAAGTTCATTATTTTCATCAATAAGTAACAACTCGATAATACGATAATATGTATTTAATATTCCATTCGGTTTCCATTTGGGTCCATTTGATTTCCATTTGGGTCCATTTTGATTTCCATTTGGGTCCATTTGGGTTCCATTTGGGTCCATTTGGGTAAATCGACGTGCCGCTTTTTAACAATCGTATCATTCCGTCAAGATACGGAATCAGCCGAGATATTCTATGGCAATATTAACTAATTTCTTACAATAAATCAAAAAAATGATAAAGAATTTTATTCTAATTCATCTCATGTAAAATTTTCCCCTTGGAACATTTTTTTTAAGTTCAGAGGAAATCGCCTCATTCTATTTTTAATCAGATGCCCGGATGTGTCATGGCGTAACTTCAACAGGTTACACAGAAGTGATCCACTGTCCAAATAAACACAGAAAACCCTAAATTTATGAATATTGTGCGCTAAAGCACTTAATTTCTTGATGCATTAATGGTAATGCATGCAAGGAAACAACCTAGACTCGATGATGGGTAAAGATTTTCACTACATTGCTGCATTACAGTTCATGACAGCAAATCCGCCATTTTTGTTGTCATTTTGAATAAAATTGAGGGTGAATTTATGATAATTTGTAGTTTTAGGGCGAGAAAAATAAAAGCATAAATGATTTTTTTGTGTATTGTAGGTATATGGACAAAAGAGACCCCCATCTATACCAGGTAATTTTGCTGGACTTGCAAGGTGAAGTTGTTTGGTCAAGTTGTGCAAGATCTTAAGTTATTGAGACAGAAAAAAGAGTGGAAAAGAAACATCGTTGGTCCTTATTGCATTAAGGGTTACTGTTGAGCTGAATGCAGTTATTTACATCCACTTTTTAGATGGGAAGAGGACATGATGACACTCTAGTTAGAATAATCTAACTGTGTCTCGGGACAGGCCCTCACCACAGTTAGAATACGTCCCATATACTTGCAATGTAGCAAATCGGAGTGGATCCACTCCGAAATGATTCTGAAGAATACAAAATGAGTTGCACTGAAAATAACTACCAAATTAATCATAACAAACCTTTTTGAGATTGTATATGCCTTTTAACCTAAAAATTAATCCATATATATACGAAAATTCAACTCATTTTCTCAACGTTTTTTCCTCGCTTCAAATTTAACGCCATGTTGACATTCGGAACTCTCTGGATTGTTCATAGAAAATGCACAGAGTTCGAGTTATCGCCCGTGTTTATTTTGCTACATTGCGAATACACGGAACGAATTCTATCGTTAAACCGGGTCCGTAGGACAATATCATTTTAACGATAGAACATTCTATCTAGATGACACTCCAACTGCCTTTTAGGAAAACAATATTTTGTAGGGGGAATTGCCTTAAAAAAAAAGCAATCTTTCCTTGCTATGATGGAGAAATTATAATACAGAAAATTTATTTATCTTATTTAATGTATCATTCATGAAGAAAATGTATAGGTGGTAAGGAAATGGAAAAAACCATCAGAATGTGTTGCTATGTTGGTAATCTTAGGCAGCAATGTTCATAAAAAGAAAACGTGCAATATTGTACCTCAGAAAGGAAAGACCATTGTATCTATGGATGCACATATACCAAAAAAATATATTTCCAACTCGCAACTTCGTAATAAAAGTTACTTGGTAATTATATAATTGTATGCAGCTGATTAATTTTGTTACAGAGTTTCTGATTTGTTTGTGTGTTTTCAGGAAGTCCTTGTAAATTTTGAAAATATTAGTAGGCATTTTTAGGCACACGCATCTGCGAAAGCTTTCATGGCTTTGTAAAAATTAAGTTTTAGTGTTACACTTAATAAAAGCATACATCACTCACTATCTCATAAAGGGTTGAATACCACTAAGAATAAAACTGAATGATATACCATACCAGTATTTTTGAGGTGATATGGAACTTTTTTAATGATACCTTGCTCTTTCAGTATGTTAGAACAATGTGATTTAAGTATGTATGTATATTTCAATAAGATTCACAATTACGACAAATACACAATAAGTTTGACATAAACTGCTTCTCAAGGTTACTAAAAGTAAAACCCTTGCATGTTGTTGACAGGGACACTATACAGAGTATAGTTAAAAGTAGGAAGTGAGTGGTTTCATTTTTTAGGATTTTGGAATTTCATTATGTAACTAGTTGTTTATAAAAAGCAAAAAAGTTTCAGCAATGTCAATATATACTTAATTGAAATTTATACCCATTAATTATTGATCTAAAAGATAAACAACTCAAAAGGCAGGGCCCAGTATGCCTCATTTTGTTAATAAACATAACATTACAACATACATTGTAAAATTAGATCTGGTGGTTATATCTTTTCAAAATAATTTACTTTGTTGAATTAACTTGAATGCATTAAATATATAAAATGGATTAAATACTGGTGTAGGTACCACTGTGAAATGATATATTTTACTGCTAATTTTGAAACAAATATTCTGTATGGTACATGATGTATGATGTTCAGTAATGTGTCCAACCCTAATATCATACTTGATATTAAAAGGGAAATAAGAAAAAAGAAAACCCAACTTGTGTAAAGTTTTTGGTGTTCTTCTTCTTTTTCAATGCTGATTAAAATTTATGTTGGAAGTATATTTGGACCTTACATGGACTAAGTTTTGTAGTCTTTTGATTTGGCTTTATATAATATTAAAGAAGAAAGATGGGAATCAGAATTGCATCTCTAATGTTAAAGAAGTGTAATGCATTGAAAAAATTAGTAAACAATTTTCAAATTCATCTTGCCAATAACTAATTGTGTGCATAGTTTTTGAGTATCAATTTGTATGTCAGAAGAAGCGCAGCATGTCATGTGAAAACTTTTTTCAACTGTTCTCAAATTTTAAAATTGGATGATTCCAGAGTTTGTAAAACTTGTCTGTTTTGTCTGATTAACAAGCAAAAGTTTCAAATCTCTGATAATTGTTCACTTACACAGCATGTTTATTTCTGTTGTAAAACAAATTACTGCTCATTGTAAGCAAATATTCATCTTCCCATTCTTTCTTTCCCATTCTTTCTTTTTTGTGTGTTGTTAAATAAAGAATGGGAAAGGTGACCAATAGTTGGCTTAATGACAGGAACATTACTATTTAAGTTTTTTTATTTTGGAAATTTTATGCAGATTTTTTTTTCAGCAATGCACAAAAATTAAAATATGCCCATAGAATTTTGTAGCAGCAGACCAAATTAAATGACAATGTTTTTGTTCAAAATCTACAAACTCTGGAATTCAGCATTGAATGTGACTGAAACAAGCATAGGCCACAGTATTTATTTTTTTTTTTTATCTTTTCAGTCTAATAAGTACCCATCAAAGGCATACAATGATCGTTATTCCAAGAGGGAGGATGGACGTTCCAGGGATGACAGTTCCGCAAGCCGTAATAGTCCCAGATATATCCACAAAAAGCCTTATAGTGAAAAAGATAAGGGCAGACTGGAAAGAGGTCAGTGTTGTGTACTTTTATTTTCATTTAGACAGGTCTACTAAGACAAGTATTTTTGTTGAATGTGTCTTAGGGGAAAAGAATCTTTCAAATTAGGCAATAGGTTCAATACCACAAATTTGATTGAAACATCAACTCATTCATTTCATTCTTGGGACTCTTCCTCCTCCTCCCCCCCCCCCCCCCCCCAGATAATTTTAAATTATAAATGCATGTATGTTTATGTACATCTTGGTGAGGAGCAGATCTGGTAATGGTTAAAATGTTTGGAAGAAAATGTTAAATTGTACCATTATTCTGAAATTGGTAATTTTTTTAATACATAAACATATGGTTTATTCAGTTAATAAAACCTTAGGCAATACAGCCCAATCAATATAATTTTTTAACATTTATGACATGTATTACAATAATTAAGACTCTAAAGGAGTCTAAAATGGGGAATGGGGGGGGGGGGGAGTTAAACCTCTGATCAAATGTTTCACAGTTCCATCTACTGCATACAGAGAAGGATGTATGATATTCATATACAACACATCATGTAATATAATTATTAATCAATGTGTAGCAATACTATTAAATAGAAACATATAAAACATGTGCAAAGGAGAAAATCAAACTTATTCAAATATTGACATAAGAGCAAAATGGATATATTTCCTCAAGCCAACTAATGTAGATGTGTTGTGAACCCAATGACTAAAGATATTTAAATGTACTAGGTGATTTATAATAATACTCATGTATTTTTTTCCCCTTCAATACAAATATTTAAGACATTGAAGGATAAAAAGAATTTCATCTTCAAATATATACATTTCAAACTGTTTTCTATGTGATAACTCTTTGAAAATTAAGTGTGTTGATCTGTCAATATTTACTACTGAATGTAAATTTCGCCAAGTGAAAAGTCAAGTGCCTACTATGCATGTCAATTTATTGTCTCTGACGTCAGTGGGCAGGTACTATGTAAATAAACATGGAATGCCTGGTATTTCATATCAGACAGCATTTTTTTAAAATTAATATTTACATTTTTCATTTCGCATACAAATGTAGATATAAGGAAACACTAAGTGACTTTCTTGTATGTTGGGTATGCCAGGAACATTAGTTGGAAAAGTGGGATAATTTATGCATAATGCGCTTCACCGAGTATGCGAATTATCTCACGTTTCCAACTGTCATTAATGCTCTGGCATACCCAAAAAACTAGACAGTGGTTCCTTAAATCATTATTTTGAATCAAGAATATGACCAGAAGTTTGAATTAAGAAAGTGGTCAGAACTTGGAGAGAGATTTTCGTTTTTAAAAGATATTAATTATTATTTTCAAATCATCCATTTACTCCAACATATGTAAACTTTCAGTTGTGATTTTGTAGGTATAATAAAAAAAAAACTATATTCTTATCTGCAGTTCCATTTGTACATATACTTGTGCAATTTCCACAATTCATGATGTCTGATATTGAACCAAAACTTAAATGTTTGTTACGGCAAATTTTCAGAGTGTCCCATAACCTTAAATTGTTCATTTTACATCATTTTTAGGAGCTTACAGTTCTCCTGACAAGAAGATCAACCATGCCTCAACAGCATCTTCATCGCATGGAGGAGGTAGCCAGAATGGCAGTTATGACAAGACCAAGGCCAACCACAAAGACCACAAGCAAGAGGTAAAGCTGAGATATCAAATATCTGAATATGCAGATTTATTATTAACAATCATTTTTTATACGTCACCACGAATATGGCCAGGGCTTGAAAAGTTTGACATGTCCATCATTCACACTTTGCATTTAGCTCAGTTTCAACATGTTCAAAGAAACTGTTCAAGATATTTTTAAATTGAACTTCATAACTGATACATGTGGTAAGAGCTATTTCACTGTATCATTTTTTTTTTTTACCTTGACCTACCTTATGACCTTGACATAACTATTATTCATTTTGCATTTAGCTCAATTTCAAAAAAAATTATTCAAGATATTTTAACCAAACTTCTTACACGATACATACTTATGAGAACTATTTAACTATATCAAAAAAATTTTCCCCCTGACTATCTTATGACCTTGACGTCACTTGGTCATTCTACATTTAGCTTAGTTTCAAAGAAGCTATTCAAGATTCTTTTATCAAACTTAGTACACTGATACATACTAGTAAGAGCTGTTAAGCTGTGGCATTGTGCATCTCCTATTTTAAGTTTTGATCAGACACATATTTGGGGTTTCCCAATTCCCAAAGCAAAACAAGGAAATTGCCATTCTTTCTATAATATTGGGGGTACCCATCTCTTATTTGCAACTCCTTTTTATTTTTCTTTAATTACTTAACATTTTTGGTTTCATATATAAAAAAAATATGCTAATTATAAATATTAATATAAAATACATAATAATTTACACCACTTGTCTAAAATAATTTTGTTTTACAATAGATATACAGCTTCTATGAATAGATTATTCTTATTTGTGAAGAAATGTTTTGCTCATTTCAATACAAAAAAATTTTATAACCAATTCAAAATGTCATGATACATATTGTATTGTGGCTCAAATATCGTGATACTTATAGGTATAAAATAATGTATGGTATGAGCCCTAACTTTCACAGTCTTTATTACATAGTACCATTTAACCCCCTATTTTATGTTTTGATCAGACAGATATTTGGGGTTTCCTATAGTAAAACATGTTCTTTGTCTTTATACTTAATAAAGGAAATACCTATTTTGTTAATGCAACTCCTCCTAATCCCCTAAATGAAATTCAATGGAACTTTCACAGAATCTCATTTGCATGCTACCAAGAAATGCACTTTGCCATTTTACTCATAGGGGAGCTGATGGTATCATTTTTCTGGGAAATGAACTAGGTTGGTCACTTGATCAAATCTTGTGAAGCCCAAAGGGTTTTTCAGTAGATCTGATCACTTACCAACCAAGTTCCTTTCCCTGTGAACTTTTTAACTTTGTTATTTATTACTTATATTTACATTTGAGATGAATATTTGAATAGAAATTTTTCATGAATGGCCCATCATATCACTGTGTTGTTACACACAGTGACCTAGAAGTTGTTTGGTCATGAAGTTCGCCTAGCTCCAACATTTGAAAGTTAGCATTGATGTTTAGCACTCAAGTTCAGGAAATCTCTGTATATAATGATAGAACAATGATTGGTATTGAAAATAATCATAATATTTTATGAGTTCTATAAATATGTGAAGTTCAAAAGCAGTTTCAGTTTACATACCTTCAAAGGAATTTTGGGATTAAAAAGATAAAAAGATAGGGGCGATTTTATTATTATTCAAACCATTTTTACACCAAAGAATGATCTAATGGATATCTGTTGATTGAAAAAAAAAATCCATATGTTTCAATTATTTGATCTATGTCATCGCTATCAAGTTAGAAGTTCCAAAACGTGAGTTTCACTGTGACAGAAATATGTAGGCGATATGTCATCTCACTGTGTGGTTCAGTCAAGCTGTGACCTCTGACCCCCCCAATAAGTTCATACAGAATTGAACATATTTTCTCTTCAATACGTTCATCTAAGGAAAATATTTATCTAAGGCAAATGTAAATATTCTGAAATGCAAGTGATTAGTCTTTTAAAATATTTTTTAAGTTGAGTTTCAGGGATTGAAAAAAAAATACATCAAGAAACTTTAAAAACCCCTTGTCCCTCAACTGCTTATTATGCCTTTTATATAATGTTTACTAGCTTTAGATGTAACTCCTTGCTCTATTAGGTTCAGAAGCCAGCATTGCGGACCTGTGGGGATTGGTCAGAACATATCAGTTCCTCTGGGAAACAGTATTATTACAACACCAGGACAGGGGTGTCACAGTGGGAAAAACCTGATGACTGGAATGACTCGTAAGTTACTGAAGAAATTCAACAAAGCTCATCAAATGACTGTTATTAAAGTAACTGTTGTAAGTTATTGAAGTGTACAATATGGAATGTTTTATAAATGTTTAGTTTGAGTGAGGGATTTCACACATTTACATCATTTGGTTTGCTTTATTCTAATCACAGGAAAGTATCTAAAAGTGACAAAGGAAACAGAGGACATCATGACAAAGGTATTCTGGCACAAATAGTTTTTTGCTTTAATTCGTAAAATAAAATAAAGTATAAACTGAAAACAGTTTATTAAAAGAATTATATGTTTAAAAAATTCAGATTTAAAAACTTTTATGTGTTTATATTTTATGTTTTGTTAAAGTGTATTTCAATTAAAGTTAACCATGGGCAGTGTCTGAATTTCAAGAATGAATCTCGTTTGCCATAGACAGGATCATGTTTACGCTTTAATGAATATGTTTTTCTGGTCAAAGGAAGCCTGTGTGGTTTTTGAAATAAAAAAAATTAATATGAATGTACCTTACTTTCAATTTTTATTTTTAGATTCCATGGGAAAAAACAAATACAATAGCGATAGGGGAAGTTCGGGAGGGGATCGATCCACTAAACGCCAGGGAAGTCTGGAGTTTAACCCTAGCTTACATAATGAGAAACCAGATAAACATTATCTCATTCAGAAGTTCCAGGACAGTCAGAGGCAAGCTCAGCTTGAGAGCCGTGCCAACAAAACCTCCAGTAAGGACAGACACTACAAGGAATCTGGTACTGTTATTGATCACAGTGGTAGTAACGTTTCAAACCGAATCCGCAGAGACAGTGATCATAGGACGTCGCACCGTAGACATGGTGAGTTCTGTCATAATACGGAGATGTATTCTGTATATATTTTATGGGATGTTTATTTTCTTGTGAGGGTGAGTATTGCCTTCTATTTCTTCTTGATGAATCTACAGTCTTTGCGATTGCCATTTCTGTGGAAAAAGTAATCTTTATCTCAATATTGTACTTCTTTTATGGAAAAGTTGTATATGCTTATGTGTGATGTTAAAAAGGAACAAACTTCAAGGTTACAATACTTCAGTTTTATGTGACCATGTTTCAGACATTTTGCTGGGGTTTTTTTTCTCTCAAAATTTACACAAATTTCTGTTTGAAAGGTACTGTGAGATCATTTTCATTTGTGGGGATCAATGTTCATGATCAAGCAAAATTTTACTGGTTGTAGGAGATGAATTTCAAGGGTAACTGGTTATATGGTAGATTCAATGAATCAATACATTGGCAACATTATCCTTCATGGGGATGTAAATTCATTGGTAAGGGGGACCCACGAAATCCACGAACATTGTTCCCCAACAAACAGTGGTGATTCCACAGGAATTGTGTGCTGCATCTTGGCTTTCTTAACACTTTTTTGTCACTGGCTAAGTTAAGTTAAATGTATGCAAGGGACTTTTTATCTAGTGAATAATTATAGTCATACTTACTTGCAAATAATGATCATCCTCACACAAGGGTACAAAACCTGATAGAGACCTAGCTCATTTATTCAACAATATTCTGATTATTTGAGTAAAATCTAAAATCAAATTATTGAATATTGTACATGTATATAGTATTTAAAGACTGATTAAATTCCAATAACTGTTCAATGCCAAACATCTAGTACTCATGGTACTGTTAAATGTAGACATGGGTTTTGTGATTAATGTTTCAGAACTTAGATATTGTACTGGTGGCTCTAGAGTTATTTATTGAATGTGCAAACCATTTTAGACTTCATTTTGATGCAAGTATTGTAAATCAGGGCTTATTAACATTAGTGCCCATGTCTGGTACCATGGAGAAATGAATATTGCTGAGGACTTGTCCGATTGGACAAGTAATTATTCCATTGTCAGGGCATCATTTTCTAAAAAGCTTACATTGAACAAAAAAAAAAAAGAAATAAAAGCTGTTGTCAGCTTTCAAATCAGATGAAAAGCGTGCAGTGGGTAAATGGTTTATTTCTATCCTGATCGTAATAATGAATTTCGATCCCAGTTGTCAAACTATGAAGGTATTACTTTTGACTTTTGATGCGTTGCATGAATCTAACGAAGTATTAGGTTAGAAAGCTGTAACAAAATAAGAACAAAAAAAAAGGTTTAACCGTGAAAAAGGGCAAATAAATGTTTGATGTTAAACCTATTTCCCCCCTGTTTTTTGGTCATGTTTGTTGTTAACTTTGTGGCATTAACTATACTTATGTAGACCAGGATGAGGACAATACATTTTACTTTCATAATTTGCTAATGTGTCAAAAAATCATAAAACAGACTTGGTTAATATATCATATATATTTAAAGACTTAATTTACATTTTTTAAGTCGTCAAATAGTTCTCTTTTGAAATCAAAATTATGTTCAAACAAGTAAATTTCACAGTCATTTGTCCAAGTGGACAAGTAAGAAAAAAATTCAATGTGGAGTCATGAGAATAAGAAAAATTAGAAAGACACTTCAGAATGTACAGAATTACAAGAAGTATCCTCTTTTGCCTGAAAAATCATTTGAATAGTGGTCAGTGGTCAACTCTACTGTATGTTGTTTCTCATTCAAGGACATATTTACATGTAACACTTCAGTTTTAAATTTTTAATTAATGGCTATGTGACAAAGCAAATTCTGATAGAGCAAACAAGTTGTAGAACTCTTCAGTTGAAGCTAGAAAAAAAATGTTACATAAAAAGGTTAACATTATTTTGCATAAAATATTAAATATTTTATATCCCAATGTATAACAGTGACTAACAAAAAAACAGTATTGTTTTCAGTTGCTTGCTTGAGAGCTCAGAGGGGTATGCAATGTGGTTTGCTAAGTAGCTTATAAATAAGGTTTGAACTAGGTCACACTTTATCCTGCCTCTGATAAAAATCTTGAAATTTCATTGGTCAAGAAGGATACTGTATTAAACCAGATTATGATGCCTATATCGACATTATATTGTTAATATGCCCCCTCCACGTGCCATACTGTCCAGATCATATTCAATATATGTTGTTTTCATTTGAACATGCAAGGAGCCTAACAGACGTCACATAAGCATTAAATGACGTCACAATGTAAACAATTGTTATGGAATTGTTTGCTTAAGTACTACAAAGAGAAAATGAACTTTATAAAAAAAATCTTCAACAGGATAAATTTGTTATACAAACACTTAGAGGGGTGATACGTAGAGCTATTCAACTATTTCTTTTTATATTCTGACCTTGATTTTCTGTATGACCTTGACCTCCCTATTCGTCATGTGTTTAGCTCAGTTTCTAAGAAACAATTTGAAGATATTTTCATCAAACTTCATTCACTGATACAATTGGTAAGAGCTATTCATCTGTGTCGTAAAATTCTGACTTTGATCTTTCTTATGACCTTGGCCTTGCTAGTCTTCATTTTAGTAGCTTATAAATAAGGTTTGAATTAGGTCATGATGTAACTCAGACACTGTACTCAACACGATCTGCTTACAGTTTGATTTTCATGATGTTTACTGGGAAAAAAAAAACTATGCATATCTTGCTCGTTCCAATTTTGAATCAATAGTTTGGGATCAATTCAGATTTATGCTTTTGGTGTATAGTCATACTTTTGTTTTCTTGGTATGAAGAAACCAATAATTTGTCCTCTATGAAATGTAAAATTTCAAATGTTTGCCTACTCAATACTTCTTGAACCACAAAATCAAATCCCCACAATCCAATATCTTTTCCTAAAGACCTAAACCCATGAAAACTTTATGTGGTTTTAGAGTAAATTTTATGCTATTTTGAGAGATATGAGTTAAAAAATCTAGTTTAATTAATATGTACTTTTTATATTATTTTGGTTTACTAGTAATTAGGTCTGCTATTTATTTAAGTGGGTTGTAACACCATTAGAGTTCTAATGCATATCATTTTATTATGCTGTTCAACTACATCAACATTTTTTTACCTTTTCCTTTGACCTTGACCTCAGCTAGAATTTAGCTCAGTTTTAAAGAAACAATTCAAGATATTTTTATCAAGCTTCATATACTGATGAGAGCTATTCATGGGCATCAATATTTTTTTACCTTTCCTTTGACCTTGACCTCACTTTTCTTAAATTAGTGTTTAGCTCAGTTTTCAATAAACCATTGAAGATAGTGTTATCAAACATCATATGCTGATACATACTGCTGAGAGTTATTCAACTGCATCAACATTTTTTCCACCTTGACCTTTCCTTTGACCTTGACCTCGCTTTTTTAAATTAGTGTTTAGCTCAGTTTTAAGGAAAGCATTCAAGAAAGTGTAATCAAACTACTAAATTAGTTGCCAATTAGAGCCCTGCCAGATAAGCGTTTCACTATTTCAAATTGAGTGCTATGAAACTGCTTCATTTTCTACATATATATTCATTTATAGCCATAGAGTACAGAAAAAAATATTTTTTTTTAAAATTAAGTCTTTATTAATGAGGTCACAATAAATTAAGCATGAAAAGACAGTCTAAACTCATTTACTGGACCATAATCCATCAGACTGACGGAATTGGTACACAATACTGGATGTTTTTTATTCCCTGCCACTTAACAGCATATTGACAACAATCTAACTTTAGACTTTTTAACTTATAGCTATGAATTGTCAAACTGTGCCCCGATTGAACTTAATGAGATTCAGAATAGTTGCTGTCTGTTGATACATTTTAGGGTCAGAGGAAAAGTTTGTTGTAACCCAAAATCTCATTTTGGAATCCATAATTTATATAATTATACATCTTGTCAAGTGGGTGTCCAGATCATATCTTGCAGTTTGAGAAATCTTATCGGTGTATCTTCAGGCATGGTGTATCACATGGTCCTTAAGTGTTTTTCCTGCCCTTAATGTGCTCTTTTAGTTAATTGTAAGAGCAATTGCAATGTCCATACATTATGGTACTTTATGTTATTATACCCCACGCAACAAGTTGCGGGGGGTATAATGTTTTTGACCCGTCCGTCAGTCAGTCAGTCAGTCAGTGTGTCAGTCAGTCAGTCAGTCCGTCAGTCCTGTTTTTTTGTCAGCGCAACTCCTCATAAACTGCTGCACAGAATTTCGTCAAACTTTGCTGATATTTAGCACACAATGTGTAGATTTGCATATTACCAGGAAATTCCGATTCCTTTATTTTTTCTGGGAATTTCGGCACTTTTCAACTTAGATTTTTGGCCATATCTTGAATAAAGAGAGGAACAGTTTGTCAGCGCAACTCCTCATATACCGCTGCACAGAATTTGGTTAAACTTTGCAGATATTTAGCACACAATGTGTAGATGTGCATATTACCAGGAAATTCCGATTCCTTTATTTTTTTCTGGGAATTTCGGCACTTTTCAACTTAGATTTTTGGCCATATCTTGAATATAGAGAGGAACAGTTTGTCAGCGCAACTCCTCTTAAACCGCTGCACAGAATTTGGTTAAACTTTGCAGATATTGAGTACACAGTGTGGAGATGTGCATATTACCAGGAAATTCCGATTCCTTTATTTTTTCTGGGAATTTCGGCACTTTTCAACTTAGATTTTTGGCCATATCTTGAATGAAGAGAGGAACAGTTTGTCAGCGCAACTCCTTTTAAACCACTGCACAGAATTTGGTAAAATTTTGCAGATATTTCGTACACAGTGTAGAGATGTGCATATTACCAGGAAATTCCGATTCCTTTATTTTTCTGGGAATTTCGGCATTTTTCAACTTAGATTTTTGGCCATATCTTGAATATAGAGATGAACAGTTTGTTAGTGCAACACAAGATCTTGGATAGTTCTCAACCCCCCCCCCCCCACCCCCCCACCCC